AATTATCATCAGACTTTAAAACTAAAGGAATCAGGAAATGTGTTCATCCAAGTCATTTTCAAGGAAGAAAGCAAGACCCAAGACACTCTTTGGAATTATACGTTTTTGTTTAATAGTGTAGCACAATGCGGCCAACTCTTTGACAGGGTAAGTACATTGTGATCAAAAGCCAAATTTTTACATGTGGTTTGATCATCCAAATTTGAGCACAGGTTGTTTTAGTATTTTGTTTTTTCATGTTAACTACAACTATACCCAGTGGTAGGCACAATGAACGTGTGGTTTGAGACATTCTTTGGGTCTTGGGCCTGAACACCGTTTGTTTTGCTAAGTTCTTACCACCCTCCTGTTCAGCCAGGTTAGTCTAATCTTAGTTTAGTTAGACATGCACTAACCTAGAGGGCCAAGGCCCCTCTCCAGGTGCTGAGTTGGCTGTAGCATCCCACCCAGGAAAGCCGTTGAGCAACCAAAAACTTCCCAGTTCTGCTGACATGGCTGACGAAAGCCTCGCGCCACCTGGGGTCAGTTTTTAAGAAACACGGGGAGAATGACTGGTTTTTTTTTTTTTTTTTTAGCATCTGTAACCAGTTTCCTAGAAGGAAAAAGAAAATGTCTTTATGACGTCAAATCTCTTTAGGGATATAGGGTTCCTATTATGGAGCCCGGATTCAGTTCATTTAGCCTTTCTTCCTCCCTGAGTACCTGGGGAGCCTCGCTGGAGAGGGAATGGGTCTCATTAAACCCGGAGTGACTCAAAAGGCCTGACCTGCGCCTGACACTCTGGTGATTAAACCCCCCATCCTGCTGTGTAGGTCGTTCTTGTGACAGCATTTCCAAAGTCAAGGGGCTAGTTTTCCATTTTACCACTATGTATGAGTCACTTTTGAAAAGGGGGTTTGATTTTAGGAAAATGTCCCGAGCCATGAATGCAGTGATTCGGGCAGCATGTTTCAGGGTTGGGTCCATTCAAGCCCCCCAAAACTTGGTATGTGCGAGCCTTATGCCTGAGACTGAGAACTGCCCTTGTCTTGGTGATGAGAGTGTGAAGCAATTAGCAGAGAAGGGATAGAAAAGGAAGGTCTGCCCCGGCCTGAAGTAAGTAGCCAGTCTGGCCTCACAGGTCTCCAAGTACTGCCTTCAGAGCTCCAAGATCTCTTGCTCCTTGTCCACTTACTTACTAAGGACAACAGTTGTGGGCTCTGTGGTCATGAAGATAAGGAGTGCTCCTTACCGAGGAACCAGGGGTTCCCCTTTTTACAAGCTTCCGTCTGCTGCATCTGTGCTGGGTGTGCCTGCTGCTCACCACAAGCAGCCTGCACGAGCTCTCCCCTGCCGAGCACTGGGGAGGAGCACTTGCTGCAGCGAGGTGAAAGAAGCAGAGCACGCGGCTCACCTGCAGAGTCGTTGCTGGAAATAGATGGCAGGAAGGAAAGGAGAGAAGCTTTAAGGCTGAGTAAGCATCTGCCTTTTTTTAATTTCTGAAATAATATAATTACATTTCTCCCTTCCCTTTCCTCCCTCCAAGCCCTCCCAGCTCTCCTTCAAATTTATGGCCTCTTTTTCACTAGTTGTTATACATGCATATGTGTGTGTTATAATATATATATATATACATACATATATATATCCCTAAATATAACCTTTTAGTCCATGTAATATTACTAAGGTGTATGTTTTAGGGACTGACCGTATGGCACTGGACAACCAATTGGTGTGCCCTTCCCTGGGGAAGGCTGTCTCTCCTGTTCCCAGGTTTCCTCAGTGGCCTAGAGTTCTTTATGTAGGACTGAGCCTCGGGGTCATTTCCCCATCCACTTTGGCATGTGTATCATTGTTCTTGTTCACTTCATGTTTAAGCAGTTATGTCGGTGAGACTTGATGGGTGTAGCTTCTGACATTACCAGGAAACACAATCTGCCAGAAAACTCCCTGAACTTCCGGTTCTTACAAGCTTTCTACCCTTCTTCTGCAATATTCCCTGAGCTGTAGGCTTGGGCATGTTTTGAAGACTTTTTCCGTTGGGCCTGGCTCCATACCTCTGCATTTTGGTTTTTGGTTAGTTGCGGTTTTCCGTGGTGGTCTCTGTCTGTTACAAAGAGAAGTCTCCCTAGCACGTGGTGAAGACTACACTTACCTGTGGGTCTAAGGATGAGCATTTATAGGTTGTTGATAGGGATGCTGCTGGCTTTAGTAAGTTAGCATTTGAGGCTTCTCCTCCCATGACCATGACATCGCTAGCACTGAGTCCCTAAGAGGTTCACTCCAGACACAGGGCATGCTCAAAGAGAGAAAAGCAAGCGGGGCGTCTCCAGCAAAGGTGCTTGTTTGTCTTGGACAGGGACACTTGAAGCATTGCCATCAAATCCTAGCTCCCAAAGTTTAAGACAAGGGTGAGCTGTAGAACATAAATTTCACACCTGGCCTTTGCATCATTGGACAGTCACTTTTCTGAGATCTAGCTCAAGGGACCCTTCCAGCTAGCTTAGGTCGAAGAAGAGATTGGCTACTGAAAGAAACATGAGCCGACCAGTATTTTATGCTTGCCGGTATTAACTCTACGCCAACCCTCAAAACTTCATTTATTTTCTACCTACTTACTAGTTGCAGAGTGTATTTTTGATGAAATCACAACTCTTACTTATGGAAATAAATATGTAGGAAACCCCTCACTAATTCATAGTTAATAGGTTCCCTAGGGGAGCCCTTTCTGACTTTCCTCTTGGTAGCCCCTTCCTAGGCTGGAGAATTAAAAATCCATTTTCTGGTTGCCAGTAATATGCTGTACACTTAAAATGTTAAACCTTTTCTATATTTGACTTATGCCTCCTTACATTCTAAATTTCTTGATTAGCCATAATTTATCTCCATAGGGTAATAAGACTGTAATATATATATGATTTATGTGCATAATGTCCTAATGAGTTCTGACATCTTGTTAACCACAGCTGACTCCTCAGCCCCAGCAACCAGAACCATGGAATCTAAATTCAAAACAGCAAATGGCGCCAATAGAGTCTTTAAACTTCTCTCCGAAACTTCACAACCCCGGATCTCATGCTCCACATTGCCGTCAACACTCTCTCTCCCAGATTCCCACGAAACAGCTCGCAAGCATTGAAGACTCACTGAAGTCTCTTGCCCAAAGTGGCAAAGTCCCCACAAACATGGCCCCTACCCCAGCAGCATGTCATGTCTGCCACAGCAATACCCCACAATTCTCGTACCAATTTCTGTCCTAGCTAGGGTTACTATTGCTGTGATAAAATGCTCCGACCAAAGCAATTTGGGGAAAGAAAGGGTTTATTTCATCTTATTCTCCCAGGTAACAGTCCATCGCTGGTGGAAGTCAAGGCCAGAACTCAAGTCAAGGCAGGATCCTGGAGGCAGGAGCGGAGGTAGAGGTCATGGAGGGATGTTGTTTACTGGCTTAACCCTGTGACTTGCTCAACCTGCTTTCTTAAAGAACCCAGGATCACCGGCCCAGGAGTAGCACCACCCACAACGGGCTGGGCCCTCCCCTCCCTCATCAATCACTAATTAGGAAAATGCCCTACAACTGGGTCTCATGGAGGCATTTTCTCAGTTTAGGTTCCCTCCTTTCCGATAACTCTAACGTCAAGTTGGCAGAAAACTATCCGGCAATACAATGTCCTCTTTTAGATATTAGCAAATATGCACTATGACGCTTTTAACTTAAAAGTTAAGTTTAATAAACGTAACTAATTTTGCCATGCCATTCGTGAAAAGTTTCCTAGTATTAACACATTTCAAACTGTACCAACATGGCCTCTATTGGCTCTCCAGCAAACATCAGGGATCTACCTTTCTGCATTCACATGCGAAGACGGTGATAATGTATTTCTAATTACTTATTGGAAAATCACTATAACTGGGTGCACTATAAATGACAGAATTAAGTGACTCTATTCCAGTAGTGCAGTGGTTCTCAACCTGGGGGTTGTGACCCCTCCGGGGCGTTGTATATCAGATATTTACATTACGATTCACAACAGTACCAAAATTACAGTTCTGAAGTAGCAATGGCATAATTTTATGGTTGGGGGTCAGCACAACATGAGGACCTGTGTGAAAGGGTCCCAGCATTAGGAAGGTTGTAGCTTAATTCTGACTCACTCAGCTGATAAAAGTCCAGGCTTGCTGCTCCCCCGCACCAAAGAGACAGTATACAGGAAAAATATATTTGGCTGCTCGGAAAAGAGCTTTTACTGAACATAAATGTGCTGTCTGCCTCTTCATCCTCCACCCCTGCCAGGTGGACTGACTAGTAGTTGTGACACTTGTTGCCACCTCAGTCCCGGTCAGGAAGTTTTAGACTTTGAAGTACGCTTCTGAAGGCAGTCTTGTCAACGTCACGTTCTCGTTGAGCATGCATGTGTCTTTTCCATGTAAGTGAAAGAAACGCAGATGGGAAGCCTGTGTATTAAGACCCACACGTGTGACATGTGAAGCCTGTGTAATAAGACACACACATGTGATGTGTGAAGCCTATGTAATAAGACACACACGTGTGACGTGTGAAGCCTATGTAATAAGATGCACACATGTGACATGTGAAGTGTATGTAATAAGACGCACACATGTGATGTGTGAAGCCTATGTAATAAGACTCACAGAGGTGACGTGTGAAGCCTATGTAATAAGACACACACATGTGATGTGTGAAGCCTATGTAATAAGACTCACAGAGGTGACGTGTGAAGCCTATGTAATAAGATGCACACATGTGATGTGTGAAGCCTATGTAATAAGACTCACAGAGGTGACGTGTGAAGCCTATGTAATAAGACACACACATGTGATGTGTGAAGCCTATGTAATAAGACGCACACGGGTGACGTGTGAAGCCTATGTAATAAGACGCACACAGGTGACGTGTGGAGCCTATGTAATAAGACGCACACATGTGATGTGTGGAGCCTATGTAATAAGACGCACACGGGTGACCTTTTTACACCGTGTCATCTTTTGTTTTCGTCCAGGCTGAGATCCTGAGCGTCCTCAGCCACAGGAACATCATCCAGTTTTATGGAGTCATTCTGGAACCTCCCAACTACGGTATCGTCACAGGTAGGCCCTCACTGTTGGTCTGTCTTCCCTCCCAGGTGCCTGGCTTTTGATTCCTTCATGTGCTAAAATGCTTAATGTTAGGTTCTGTCATGAAGTGTGCACTACTGACAGATGCCACGTTTGTTGCCATAAAGCATTAATAAAACTGATTATATCAATATAATTAAGAATGGTGTTTCCACTCTCCCATGTTTAATTGTGCTGATTACACCTGTGTAGATGCAAATGCACCTGCAGCTCAGTGCCGATATGTAAGGTGCCGCTTAACTAAAATTTCATTTAATTAGTTGAAGTGAGAGATGTTTTTTGTAACTCTGTGACCTTTTATAAATTAAGATTTCTGGAGCTGTTCGTGTTGTAAGTCTTGCAGCACATCCTAATCCCACCGGCGCTCTTTATTCGGGTCCCTGATGTAAGGATCATATTTTTCAGGTTTGGTCATTTGGGCTCATAACGACCTTGAGCTAAGTTATCACGTAGTTTTGAGCAGGAATTTTTAGCTAATGGAAATACCCTTTCTGAGAATGAGCACATGGAAAATTTGGCCACAAGAAACTACAAAAGATATACTTGTAGACATTTTACACTTACGTTTGTACGTCCTAGTGAGCAGAGATAGGCCCACTGCACCTGTAACGTTGGATTTTACAGTTTTACAGTAAACAACTTTGATCAGGTCCAGCCACGTCCTCGTTCAGTTCAACCACAGAGCATATTAATTATAAGTCCCCAAAATCATTTCCTTCAGCTTGGTGCTGGTTTGCTTTAATCACAGACACATCTCATTTGCGTGTTCTGTTATTGACTGGTCCTTCTCATTAGCTAATTAGGGGCAAGTCTCGCAGTTTAGAACAGACTGCAGACATTCGCTGGTCGTAATCTATACGAAGGTTCGTCATCTTGGTGGCACTTTATGAGGAAGTTTCATGATAATGATATTTGTTGCAACAGTAGAACGCTGGGCTCTCCATATGCAAAGGTTCCCCATTCATGGATTTAACCAACTAAGGAGAGAAAGAAAGAGACCAGAGTGGGAGGGGGGCAGTGATGATGGAAAGCAATGTACTATAACCACTGTTTGCTTAGTGTCTACGTTCCATTTGCTAGTGTGAGGGGTAGAGAAATGATTCTAAGAACAGATGTTCCTCCAGCCACAGTGGGCTGAAATCTCAGTAAGCCCGCCGTAAATGGCCGGTATCCAAGACGAAAGTGCATTTAGCGTACCTACCCTATTAAACATGATAACTCAGCAACACAGCACACTGTAAGATATGAGGGGTTCCCTTTGTCACCCTTGCGACGGACTGGAGGCCATGACTTGATGTTGCTGCTGTTCAGTAGGGCAAGATAGTAAGACCAGCAAAAAGAGAACATAATTCAAAATATGTTTTCTATAGAATATGTGTCAATTAAAATATTTCAGTTAAAAAAAACATATTTGTGCTGGGAATTGGTGGGGCACACCTTTAATCCCACCACTCAAGAGGCAGAGGCAGGCAGATTTCTGTGAGTTCAAGGCCAGCTTGGTCTATAGAGTGAGTTCTAGGACAGCCAGGACTACACAGTGAAACCCTGTCTTGAAAAACCAAAAACAAATGAAAAAGAAAAGCAAACAAAACAAAAATACATTTGTTTACATTGTGTGTGTTACATAGTTATGCAAACACTGTTGTTTTATAGGAAAAAAAAACTATATAGACATTTTAGTACCTGGATGGGGGGACTCAATCCCCTAAGGATTCTAAGGGATAACTATATATATTTGCAATATCAGAGCCTGCTACCATTACGATAAAACTCAAAAGAAAGAAAAAAAAAACGGCTTGGAAATTAAAGAACATATTTAACTTCCTTAAAACTTTTTTAAAAAATATGTGGATGTGTTTTCCCTATATGAGGGTGTCAGATATCCTGGATCTAGAGTTACAGACAGGTATGAGCTGCCGTGTGGGTGCTAGGAATTGAACCAGGGTCCTCTGGAAGAGCAGGCAGTGCTCTTAACCACTGAGCCATCTCTCCAGCCCCTGCTAGTAACTTTTTATAAAAAAAAAAAAAAAAAAAAAAAAAAAAAAAAAGAATTAAAGCAAAGCTTTCTGTGCCAATATTGCTCCTGTTAACATGGTGGACGTTCCCAAGACCCACTGGACATTCTGCAGAACAACATGGCAAGCACGAGTCACAGGACACAGGACAAGAAGAGCAAGGACTCTTGGTATTCCCAGGGAAAGTGGCATTATGACAGGAAGCAGAGTAGCTACGGTGGACAGACTGAGCCTACTTTCCGCCAAAGGGCAAAACTACAAAGAAGATTGCAGTGAGGCTTGAGTGTGCTGAGCCCACCTGCATCCGAGAGGATGCTGGCTAGTAAGAAATGTGAGCATTGAACTGGGAGTCGATAAGAGAAAGAACCAAGTGATCCAGTTCTAAGCTGTTATAAAAACAATAAAATTGTGACCTTTACTCACAAAAAGGAAAGAAAGAGACAGAGAGAGGGAAAGAGAGAGAGAGAACAAATACTTTACACTGAAGCTCAATAAACTAACTTCTAGGGAAACAGAAAGTGATTTGAGAACCGTATGGACTTATGGTGAGTCTTCAGTTCCCAATGAGACAAAAGGTGGACGAGTTCACTCCCTTGGTAGAGTAGTTAAGGTGTTAGTTTTGCTAGTCACTGATTTAAAGTCATCTAATGTTAACTATAAAAGAGCTCACATCCAAACCATAGCCAATCCATTGATAAGCCAAAGTGAAAATTTTGAATGAAAGTAAGGGGAAAACAGCCCCAAAATATAAAAGACAAAATGATCAGCAATGACTTTTCATCTTCAGGAATGGAGGCCAGATGCCAATAAAATGATATGTACCTATGGAAAGAAAGGAGCGCATCAAGCAAAAGAAAATGTCTCTTAATGGTGAAATAACTATAAAGTTGTTCTGGGACAGAGAATGAGTGGTGTTATTGCAGGAAGATCTGCTTAATAGAAATACTGGGCTTAGGGCATGGTGTAGAACATGTAGTCAGCAAGGACGCCTTCGGCGTGAGCCTTTGTATGGAAACAACAGACGAGAGCAATACTAAAGTAAGTCCTCTGAGCTGAAGGGGGGCACTAAATAATGAAAGAATCTCAGGAAAGAACTCATGGCAAGAGAAAGGGTGAAAAGGTGACCTGATATACAACTCTTTAAATACATTCTCATGTCTCGTTCATAACATGTTTAAAAACAAAATTTTATAGAGCAATGAATGTTTTATTGATTAAAACATAGGAATTTAACATATTACAATAATAGTATAAAAGATCAGGGAGTGATAGTCATAGTGGAGAAAAGAGTATAAAATATTTTAGATTAGTATAAATCTGAAATTATTGTGCTATAAAATTGTGCTGTGAAATCATTTCTTGAGTCGCCACAAAGAAGTCACTCAAGAGATTACAAACACATTGATCAGGCGGTGGCAAGAGTCTATGATCCAAGTGCACAGGAAGCTGAGGCACAGGACTGTGAATTTGAGACCAGCCCAAGCTGTACAGAAAGACCTTATTTAAAAAAATCAAAGGCGTGAAGAGATGGTTCAGTAGTTAAGAACCTGGTTGGTGGTGCATGCCTTTAATCCCAGCGCTCAAGAGAATAGGCAGGCAGATCTCTATGAATTTGAGGCCAGCCTGGTCTATGGAGTGATCTTTCGTCCAGTCATGGATATATAATGAGAGCCTGTTTTAATATGCATACTACTCTTGCAGAGAATTTGAGTTCAGTTCCCAGCAGCCATGTTGGCTGGCTCATAACTGCCTGTAACTCCATCTCCAGGGTTGTATCTAACAGCGCTGGCCTCTTCGTGTATACATATCCCCATATTTCCCCCTCCCGCCACAATTTTGAAAATAAATCTGTAATATAGTCAAGGAATCAAAATGATATATTAGGGTGTAATAAATAGGGAACATCTGACTGAAGACAGGAGACATAAAAAAACAAGATGGCAGATGTCAACCCAATTTTGTCATTAATTACATTAAATATGAGTGGTCTTAATATTCCAATCAAAGGGCAGAGATTTTTTTGGTATGATAACAAAGCAGGGTTAAAGTATTCACTATTTACAATACACATATCAGAGTCAAAGACACAGGCTGAAAATAAGAAGAAAGAGAAGGATGTTCTATGCCAATAATACTCATTAGAAACCAGGGTATCTATGCTAACATCACACAAGATAAAATTCATATAATACTAGAAACAAATGAAGCCATTTTATAATGATAAAGGGGTCAATATACTAGAGATCTGTAATAATTGTAGCAATTCAACAATAATTACTTTCAATCTTCCTTTCAATAATTGGTAGAATAACTAAACAGAATTGGCAGAGCTATAAAGAAGTTGAAGAGCCTTCTCAGCCAACTGCCCCTAACTGCATAGCGCACCATCTACAAGGGATATTCTTCAGATATAGTGTGAGGTCATTAAATCATAAATCATATTCAGTAGATCAGAAATAATTGATACTGTACAATGCATTTTCTCCAACTACAGTTGAATTAAATTAAACATGGGCAACCAAAGGACATGGTAAAAAAAAAAAAAAAAGCACCGAGTATTTGAAAATTAAATGCCATGCTTTTAAATGCCTACTGGATCCCCAAAGAAATCACAGTGCCTTAAAGATTTGTACTAGACTAGAATAGAATAAAACAGAAACATGCCAGAACTATCAAATGCAGCACTAAGCAGGGAGTGTGTAATCTCCAGCAGCTGTATGGTAAGAGAAGCAAGTTTGAGCTTGGTACCATCAGCATCTTCATCCCGAAGAAAGAGCAGAAAGGAGAATCCAAGAGGACCGAAGTAAGACACGGAAAAGAAAGAGTGAGGCGTCAGGACAGGTGCAATAAAATGGAAGATTGAAATGGCAGAGAAAAAATTTAAAAAAAAAAGCCTTGGTTTTTAAACACTTAACAAAATTGGTGACTCTTTAGCCAGATTGACTAAGAAAAGAGAGACCCTGGCAAAGCCATGAATGGGGAGAAAAGAAGGCTGTGATTCCTGAGGGAGCTCCAGAAGCTCATGAGTGACACGCACGCTGTGCTAATAAATAAGCCTGCTTGCATGCAATCAGCTGTCTCCTAAGATGATACAGTGATCCAGCTGACTCTAGAGCTGGACCTCTGAAATGATGTCAGCTCTTGGAGGTGCAAGCAGGAATATCAGGAGTTTAAGGCAAGCTTTTGTTGTGTAGCAAGTTTGAGTCTAGCCTGGTCTACCTAAGACCCTGTCTCAAATGAACAAAATAAAGCAACAACAATAAAACTGACTCAAGGAATAAATCTGGATCTATGTATAATAAAAACATAATTAGTAGTTTAAAATATTTCCATAAAGAAAAGATGATTATTTTTGCTACTGAATTCTATCAGATATTTATAGAAGAAATAATATCAACCTTCCTTCCCCATACTCTGTCTGAAGACAGAGGTCAGTCAGTAGTCTTTATAGACTTTATAATACCAGTATTATACCTACACCAAAGCAACCACACAAAGACATGATCAGGAAACAAAGTCAACATCCCTCATGCATTCAACACAAAACTTTGTAACCATATTAGCATAAAGAAACTGGTGACGTGTTAAAAAAAATGTTATATTCCATCACAGGACTGCGTAAGCAAGAACTGAATAATTCCAACAGCAGTGGACATCCCAAGGTAGACGGGAAAATCTCACTGACCACACCCCTAGATGAAGAGCTGCAGGCAATAGTCTTCCCCAGGGCTGAGCCCCAGACTGGTTAGCTAGTACAGAATAGTCATCTCTAGAAACATATACACGCAAGCAGTATAAGGGGACTCAGTGGAGTGTGCATGTGTTTATTCATATATATGAATAGTATATAATATATATTTATCTATATTGCATTCTATATGATAGTATTGGTTAAAAAAGAGGGAACTGTGGATTTGGGAGAAAGGCCAGACATGAGAGGGGTAGAAGGGAGGTAAGAGAGGAGGAAATGATATCATTTTTGCCTTAATTAAATTTTAAAAAATAATACCAATAATAAAAGACTGTACTTTATGACCAGTGGAATATTTTCCAGGAATACAAGGTGTTGGCTTAACATCTGAAATCAGTTAATAGAAGATACAATAATAGGTAATGGAATATAAGACGAAAACAAAATGTGGACACTTCAAAAGATACAAGAGAAGATTTGATTGTATTGGTTCTTTTTAGTGGTGGTAGGGGCTGAACCTAGGGCCCCAGGCATGCTAGCACAGTGCCCTGTTGCTGAGCTATATCCACAGCCCTTAAAGAACGCACTTGAGAGACTGTGACCTCCATTGATAATGATAGTCCCCTCATCCTAGGAGTAAAAATGAATTGTCTCAGTAAATAGCAGCTATAGAACTCCACAGCTAACATCACGCTCAATGATTGAAAGGCTCTGTCCCCCCAAGGCTGGCACAGATGAATTCTGTTCTTACCACATTTATCGAGCATTGTGCTGAAGGCTCCACACAGTCTAGTCAGACAAGAGAAAGAGATAAAAAGCCTCAAGTTGGGGGGAAAAAAAGAACAAAACTGTCCTAGTCACTATTCTATTACTGAGAAGAGATACCATGACCAAGGCAACTCTTACGTAGTCTTAATATCATCTTTTGTATTGTGTCTTACTCCTTTTTAAAACAGAGTATGCTTCTCTGGGATCCCTGTATGATTACATCAACAGCAACAGGAGCGAGGAGATGGACATGGATCACATCATGACCTGGGCCACCGACGTAGCCAAAGGTAGGCTGCTTAGCACCGACAGCGGTGGGCGGAGTCATCGTATGTCAGGAAGTTCTTTATTCTATGTCTTTAGGTATTTTTTTTAGATCAAATATAATGAAATATAATTCAACTCACTGTACAGATAATATTTTTATTTTTTCAGATAATATTTTTAGGTCATTGCCTTTCCATTACTGAATAGCCCCCCCTTTTTTTTTCTGTTTCTTTCTTCATTTCTTTCCATAAATCAAGTTTTACAAAGTCAGGAAGCTTCAGGGCAGAGATTTTTTTTTCTGTTTTGTGACATTGTAATTGGCAAACTCTCTTGACATATTAAATGTAAAAATCATAGTTTTGTTGTCCTGAGAGTCTCTCCATGAGTCTCTAAAATGTGACTTATGGTAGGATTGGTCTTATTGGCTTTGAATACATAATTTTTCTCCTTGTTTGTACTTTCCTACCTGACCAGGTCTTAGTCTTCGTCATAACTGCCTTGGAATCAGCTTTATCTAAGTAATGTCTGTAGTCTTCACGTTTGTATTCTGGGATCCTCTAGGTAGCAAGTGGTTGGCACTTTACCTGGGCAGGTAGCTCCTGTGCATCCTAACACTTTTCCTACAGACATCTCTTAACAAAGCAAATATATATAGTGTCGCTTAGTGTTCGGTAAGGGAAGCAGCTTATATTTTGTTCTCATGGCAAAGATAAAGATACATAGTGACTTCAGGATGAGACTGTTTTGTGGGGGGATTATCTTGAATGCTTTATGTTTCGCCAGCACTGACCAAATTCCTCAAACAGGAAAAGTAAAAGAAAGCAAATAAACTTTTATACTAATGCTGCTACTGGCTACCTATGAGTTAGATATAAGCAACCCTATATTTGAATGTGATGCCAAACTTCTAGGGCTGTGTTGATGAGCTTATCTATGTATCCATGCATCAGACATCTTAAATTTATCTTAACATTCCATGTCATTGAAGATGCTTTCATGCAATATCATACTCACTTCTCTAAATGTCCATAGTACTCAAGGAACACCTGTGAGTGTCCATAGTACACATGGCGCACCCGTGAGTGTCCATAGTACACGAGGAGCACCCGTGAGTGTCCATAGTGAGTGTCCATAGTACACAAGGAGCACCCGTGAGTGTCCATAGTACAGGAGGAGCACCCGTGAGTGTCCATAGTACACGAGAAGCACCCGTGAGTGTCTGTAGCACACGAGGAGCACCCGTGAGTGTCCATAGTACACAAGGAGCACACATGAGTGTCTGTAGCACACATGGAGCACTCATGAGTGTCCATAGTCCACGCGGCGCACCTGCGAGTAGGCAAGGCCATACTGATGCTGGCGGTTGCCTGCAGCATTGTGGAAATGCGCCTACACGGATGGAAACACACACAGTCCTTATTGCACTCTTCTGACGTTATGTTTTGGGTGCTCAGCTAATTACACTCCTGTTATGACTTAATGGTACTTAGGGTGGATAGGTAGCAAACAATCAAGTGGCAGCTTCCAGCTGTGCTCCCTCTACCTTCGAGTCCCCCTTTCCAGCTGCAGCACCCACTTGGCCCTCTGTCACATGGTCCTGCCTGAGGGCCACATCTCTTGGCTCCAGAGTAGCACTGTGAGTTTCTCAGGAGAGCCGCTTCTCCACTGCAGAAGAACAGGGGAGAGAAGGAGCAGAGTTCCAGGGTAAGGAAGGCGGGAAGAGTGCCGGTCCCGAGCTAATAAAACCTCCTTGCCCAATTAGAGAACGAATCGAAAAGACAAACTCCCATGTGTTCGGCCTCAGAAAATGGACCCATTTACTCATAATCCTAAGTGATATGCAATATGTAGGAATTATTCTATGTGGTCTGAAAAAGGAAAATGGAACCCATACTTTAAGATCGACTTCAACCCTGTCCCCTACAGCTAAGTGTAAATTTTAAATACCCAAGGCTTGGCTCTGGTTGGCTTTGTTTCTAATTCAGCCTGTGAGCCTTTTGGGTTGACCATGATTGAAGCCACTGAAGCAATAACATGTTGAGACATCAGAGAATGAATAATTCATCCTGAGAGTTGACTCACACATTTGGAAATAAAGCGTTGCTCAACGTCTTTGCTGTTGGGAGCTGCACTCAAAGCTGCCAGGGTGCTCTTCCCTCCCAGAAGGAGGAAGAAGGGGAGCGGGCAGGCACGTGTATCCGCAGTTGTATGTGAGGGGCAATTAGAGCGCTGACTCGAATGCTGCCTCCATCCCAAGTCCCCCAAGCCTCCTCCCTGGTACCTGTCAGATCTTATTAAGAATTCACAAATATGCCCTGTGGTGACGCACGCCTTTACTCCCAGCACTCAGGAGGCAGAGGCAGACGGATCTCTGAGTTCGAGGCCAGCCTGTTCTACGGAGTAAGTTACAGGGCAATCAGAGATGTTACAAAGAGAAACCCTGTCTCGAGTCCCCCACAAGGAGAGAGAATTCACAGATAGTTAAACCAGATGAAAGTATTTTTCAGCCCTTTTCAATGGTTTGCAATAAAAACAAAGCAAGTGACTCCAAAAAATTGAGTTTTCTGTTTGCATAATGAGATGTTCCTAAGTTTTCAGAGTCAACCACTACTATGCTCTGTGCACCAATAATTTATGGGACTTTTTCTTCTGATAATCTGACACGGAGTAAAAAAAAATGCCTATATTTTAGATTTTTTCTAGTCAAATCGTCCCCTTTGAAATTCTGTCAGCAAGTATAAAAACCATCTGTTCTCCCTCCTAATCATAGTCAAATAGACTCTACCTGAAAATTATTTGGAGATTTAATTTTAAAGCAAGGAGGGCGTGACTGTGAAGTTCAGGCATATAGACTGTGAAGTGCCACACAAGGAGCTTTGCAGTTTGACTATATAGAACTTGCTATTAAATGAGACCCTTTATCCCAGTTACATGGGTTAAGATCGTTTAAGCTACTAATACTTCTGCTAACTTGATTCTTTTCAGTGATATCATTATGTAAGAAGAGCTGAAACTCTTCTCTTATTTTCTTTGTTCTTTTGATGCCTCCGTATGGAATAACCAGAGTAGTAGAAGAATAGCTATTAATAAATTCACCTTTATAAAATTGTAATGTTCTGTGTATTTAAAAAAACACAAATGTACGTAATAAATTACTTTCATGAGCATCTCATCAAAAAAATAAAAGGTCCTGTTTGATTTGATGTAGAAAAGGCTGTTTCAGAAATACTGTGTAGAAAATTTATTTTTCCCTCTATTTTCTGTTTTTGGCAAAAAAAAAAAAAGACCAAATACTTTTAAGGGGATAACCATGAAATATATCAAAGTATAATTTCTCATTCAAAATAATGAAATTATTGACATTTGATTCACGCAGTATATAGAGTACCTTAATTCATATTATAAATAGATGAGAGTGAATTTGGAGATTTATTCTTGTGAGAAAAACCTATCTTTAGATGTAAGCATTGTACATCTACTAGGAGACCACAGCACCCTTACCCACCAGTGGGCCTGCTGGCCACCCATTCTGTCTTCACGCTCAGGTCTTGGAGAATAATGTCACTGCAGCTCAGGCTGCAGACGTCCAGGTGAGAGACGAGGAGCCTCAGCTTGGGCAGACGTAGCATGTACCTGGCAGTGGGGTGCTCAGAGGTCACCTTGGTCATTTTGCTGCAGATCTGAGAAAATGATGGTGTCTTTCTTAGGTACTGTAAGAAATGAGATGATCCACAGTAGAGTTCCGCATTGGCCTTGCTAGAGAAGCTGCCACTAATGTGGGCAGAGGTGGTTCTTCTTTTGTGGAGCATGGACGGGCAGAACACGTGGGCGTATTCTCTGCTGTGGATTTCTTTGCAAAGTCCTGAATGTTCCTACTGATGTGATACTGCAAACCACTAATCCTCTTCCCCTCTTGTACGAAAGGGATGCACTACTTACACATGGAGGCTCCAGTCAAGGTGATCCACAGAGATCTCAAGTCAAGAAACGGTAAGTGGTCACACCGTCTGACCTTGCTACTTTACCACAATTCACTGGCACTAGGAAATACCCAGCACGATGCTTCCCATGGCTTTGTAGCTCATGGGTGGTCTGCACTACCCTGAAAACATTGTCACTGTCAGCAAAGATCGCCGTCTGTGTGTTATTTGAGGTTTGCCTGGTGTTCTGTGCGAGTCTAACACAGGATCGAGCCAACTGGATTTGCCTATGCTCCTCGTTTCGTTTCTTTGTTTGGCTTGTTTTGTTTGGGTTTTTTTTTTTTCTAAAATAAGAAATGTTTAATACCTTTTGGCCAAGTTTTTTTTTTTTTATTTTTGTTTTTTAAAGAAAAAAAAACACATCTCTAATATTTTCTTAGGATCCTTTTCTAAAATCTGCACCGCCAGGTCAGAGTGTGTAGTCGTGTATTTTAAGTCTCCTATTTTTAGATCCTTCCTTCTGCCAGCAACTTTGAGTTTTATTTCTGAATTCCAATGGTTTGCATCTTTTGGTCACTCATGCCCATGTTACCTGGAGTAGCGCCCAAAGATAGCCAGCATGCTTGAGAGTTCAGAATGTAAAGGCATTCCTTTTTTTCTTTCTCTCTTCCGGGCTTTCTATACTTTATGAGCCCTATACTTATCGTTTGGAAAGCGAGCTCCTTAAAATAGCTCCCGGGATTAGATGCTACCTTCTTCCATGACGTCACCTCGGAGCTAGCAGAAAGGCAGGAGGACTGTTTACTTAGCAGAGCTAAATAAGCGTCCGAGGGTTCTGCTTAAGAGAAGAAAGAACGCAGCCCTTGCTTGCTAGCGGTTATTTCTGCACTCTTCAGTGGCAGAAAAGCATTTAGTTTTAGGAATTTAAGATCGCTGCAGCTAAAACAGGGATTTGCCAGCCGTGTGGTCCTGAGAATGGGCGATGACAGCAAGCGGGCAAGAGGAGCCTGGGCAGAGCCCCAGGGGCGCTGCTCACACTCGGGACCTCCAGGCCTGGGTCTGACAGGTGGTAGGCAGGAAGGACAGGAAGTTGTAGGCAGCTGCCACCATCAGGAATCCAAACTGGCCCCTCCTAACCTGGTTGGCTGGCTCAGCTGTCACTCCCTTTCCGTCCTCACTTGCTCTTTGCTTCTTCTGAGACAGACCTAGTCGTGATACAGAGCTGATAGAAAGTCACTGGAAAATAATCTCTAACCAGATAGGAAATAGCAGGCTTTTGTGACCAAAATTTCAGTTTGTACTATTAATCTCTGATTTTTTTAAGCCCATGAAGGCTATGCAATGATGGCGAATTCCTCATTTAAAAAAAAAATTACAAGTTCTGTAGCTAATAGGAAACATTAGCAAGAAAAGAATATCAGCCTAACGCTGGCAATTTATTTTTACTGGGAGGAGAGAGAGACTTTAATTTCTGTAGTGTTTTTTGAAAGCTTAAGTTATAGGCTAGCAAGATGGCTCCGTGGGTAGTGGCCCTTACCACCAAGCCACACAACCTGAGTTCAGTCCCCAGAAACCACACGTTAGGAAGAGAGGACTGACCCCACACAAGCTGTTCTCTGACCTCCATGTGCTTCCCGTGGCCTAGATGCACCCACACACCTATACACATACATAAATATGTAAATAAATCTAATAAAAATAAAAAACACTTTATTAGTGTGCATGCATGTCTGGTGCATGTTTACATACACGTGCATGCAATGATGTGTCATTGAAAAACAGGGTCAACTCTGTGGAGTCAGTTCTCTTTTTCCGCCTTTATATGGGTCTCTGGGGTCCAACTCAGGTCACCTGGCTGCATGACAAGTTCTTTTGTCCCCAGGGAACCATCTCTTCATTTCCCAAAGGAAGTATTTTTATAATGTTATTTTGTAAATGAGCCCTTGCTAATCTCACATGAAGAAGGAGAAATAGGAAGCGGATAGAATAGTAATATTTATTTACATTTTTATTTATAAAAAGCATGCAGCTCATGCCTCCCAATCCCACATTTACTTTGAGGCTATTTTTATGGATTAGATCACACAGAATCCTTTCTCCAGTTACCAAAATCACTAGGAGGAGCAGCTGCTGCAGTGATGAGCTAGCATGCTCAGGGCACCGAGTAGCTTACTGAATAAACAAATCCCAGAAACCCCTCTGAGGCCTCGATGGTTTTCCCTCTTCCATAACGCCACCCCCCCCCCCCCCCCCGTGTCAACACTCCCAGGTTAATGTCAGTCTTGAAACTGTTGACCAGAAATACTTGCATAGATATTTTGCATGAGTTTAAAATGTATTGTGTCCAAACTGACCTTCTTCCCCACCCCTCCTGCCTGAAAAAGCCATTCCTACATCCCCTTTCTTGGCGAGTGCGGTGCAGATGCTTTGGTTTATCCTCGCTGCATCAGTGTGAAGCAAGTGTCTTAAAAGCCACTCAGAGCAGCACCTCATGGAATCAAGCTTTTAAAAAATGTTTCCTCCCTTATACAAACTCTCAGATGCAGCAAATATTTTCATCTTACCCTTTATAATATAAAATTCTCTCTGTCTCTGTCTGAGTGTGTCTCAGTCTCTGTCTCTCTCTCTCTGTCTGTGTGTGTGTGTGTGTTTAGAACAGGGTCTTGTTGTATATCCCTGACAGGTTTGGTTCTTGCTCTATAGCCCAGGCTGGCCTCAAACTCAAGATCGTCCCCCTGCCTCAGCCTGGGATTACGGGGACACACCACCATACCCGGATTATAATGTGAAGTTAGAAATGCAGTAATATCAAACTTAGAAATGCAAAGCTCTGCTTCTCTTCAGTGTAAGACAATTCAGACAAAAATGAATATCCTGATTCCTCTCTGTTCTCTTGCAGTTGTCATTGCTGCTGATGGAGTCCTGAAGGTAGGGCCAAGTCTTTTACTTTAGAGAAAGTTGTTCATTTCTGATGGAGGTCTTGTGACCAATCATCTCTCATCAGTGCTGGGTAGAAGGTTAACATTGGTTCCTGTGTCCTCAGATCTGTGACTTCGGTGCCTCTCGGTTCCATAACCACACCACACACATGTCCTTGGTTGGAACTTTCCCATGGATGGCTCCAGAAGTTATCCAGAGTCTCCCTGTGTCTGAAACCTGTGACACATATTCCTATGGTGTGGTGAGTGTGTTTCTTATTTCTTTGTTTTCCAAAGGACATAGGAAGGGCAAACAGCCTAGAGAAACCACAGTTGAGCTTGTGTCTGAGACAGGAGGATCATCTATGGTGGCATATGGACAGAGCATTCTAGCTGTCCCGATGTGTGGCTTGATCACTTCTGTCCCGCACTGAGAAGAACCATCACTACTTCCAAGAAGCAAGTAATCCAGAACTCAGTCAGTGCTGCCTGCTCCCTGGGATACTGCTGTGAGGAGTGGGAACAGGGCAGAAGAGCTGTGTAATTCAATGACACTGCGGGTCTCTTGCAGGACACTTGATTGTAATAGATTGCCCACACGGTGTGTGGCCACCAGTAGCTGCTAAGTGAGCCACACTTATGCATTTCCCAAACTACAAAAGGCCTTGTAGTTAGGCCAGATAACCTTGTCCAGATCTGCTGCACACCCTACCAAAACAAGTGTTGACGTTGCTACGTGAGCTGACAGATGGGAGCAAGGGTAGAATGGGGGGGACAGATAAGGAAGGATCGTGTAGTAGGAAAAGGCTTCTGCTAGGGTAGCTCCTGCTGCAGGAAGGAATTTTTGTGGCCCCCCTTTAAAGATGCTTTCCTTAAAATGTTGTAAAGGGAAAAAAAAAAAAAAAAGCCCAGAGCATCATGGGGAATGCTTCTTCTCTAGGTCATATTTCCAGCTGTGCCACAGATGCCACTTCTCCTTACCTTGCAGAGAAGAGACACTGGTTGTAAGGAACAGCTCACGCCCCCTCAGCACACCCTTTTACCTGACCAGAGAAGGACATTTTTCAGGCACACCCGTTCTCTGATCGGTCTGCTGGCTCCCTTCCATGTGGGCCTTTCCAGCTGGCTAGTGCTTCTAAGTCATGAACCTCTTATGCACAGGTGACTTTTGTTTGCTATTGAAAACAGTTTCAAGAGTAGATTATGTATTTTTGCCTAAAGTCTAGGGGTTTTGTTTTGTTTTGTTTTGTTTTCCAAGACAGGGTTTTTTGGTGTAACAACCCTGGCTATCCTGGAATTCATAGAGATCCGCCTGCCTCTGCCTCTCAAATGCTGGGATTAAAGGCGTGCACCATCAGGCCCAACAAATCTAGGGTTTTGAAGGTTAAAAGATGGCAATAGTAACCACTTCAAGTAGCTAATTCCCCTTAGTTCTGAATGTTTCTAAGAATAAAAACCACATTACTACTGAGAATGAAAAAGTATTTCTCCATGAAATAAGGGGAGAAAGAGAATAACTGTTCCGGAGGGCACAGCTTCTGAAGAAACAGAATAACTGTTCCGGAGGGCACAGCTTCTGAAGCTGCCTCCTGTAACAGGAATTATTATCTCACACTCATCTGGAAATTCTGAAAATGGGAGCTTTGTTGCAATTTAAGACTTTTTGTGCTAGGGTTTAGCTGGGTACTGGTACACTTGCCTAGCAATATGCCCTGGGTTCAATTCTTTTAGTGAAATTGTTTTCTTTTACCAAGTCACGTTCCTTTACTTTAGGGAAAATGATCGCTTATTGAGTTAGTCTGTGGGCTGGACGGCCACATAGGTTGGTTTACATATTACATAGCACGTTTGACTACATTTTACATAGCGGTGTTTGACAGTACTGGTATCTCATTTCATGCTGTTGAACAGAAGCCAGTGTGTTTTCTATAAGGGACCAGGCAGCCATGGCTTTGTCTTTAAAGACTGCTTACATCTGGCAGCTGAGGCTGCTTCCCAGCTCCTAACAGGCAGAGCCACTTTGTGCGTTGCAGCAGGGCCGTACTCTGCAGAGCCCTCTATGCAGCAAGGGAATTCGGGAAGACATCAGAGTGGCTGACGTACGTGGGTCATTTGGCCAAGGTCCAGCTGATCATGTGACTTTCCTCGCATGTGCAGGAGTGTATAAAAAGAGAAAACCATATTTAGGCAGCCGTGGCTTTAAATTAGCTTGCACCGTTTTGTTCATCAGATGGGTTTTGAGGTTTATTTTCTACTCCCACAATCCACGTATTGTATTTACTTTGACAACTTTCCCCAAGCCTTGGAATTTCCCTATTAGAAATTTTTGACCTAAACTCACAGCTATGAGTTATGTATTGAATGGAGGTTTAGTTTCAATATTATTGCATTTATGAAAATAAACTCTGTGTCGCTTTCTTTCAAATGCTTCCAGATGCCTGGCCTTTGTGTGAAACACACCATTCTTCCTTTTCCTTAAGACTGTGCCCTCTCGGTACCTGTAGCCAGGAACTGATGCCTTTTGCCTTGGAAACCATAGTTGCTGAGCCATGACTTCTGATACCCAGCTAAGGATCTCTCCCGTGTCTTTAAATCCCTGTGGCAGGTCTCACTGATCACTTCCTTAAGCACAGTCTGAATCCATCTTTCTGGTGCAGTGGCTTTTCCATCTGTTGTAAAAACCTTTCACTCCGGAGACTGCGTGCCACTTTTGAGAGAAGGGTCTCTGCATGTCTGTATGTGTACCACCCCTACCTTTGCTTGCCTTGCTTTGGCTTTCTTGGGGGAAAGGATGGTTTTGTTCTCTTTTGTTTTTAAGTCAAAAGCTCACTGTGTAGCTCTGGCTGACCTGGAATTTCCTATGGAGGCTAGGCTGGCCTGGAACTCACAGAGATCTGCCTGTTACCTAACCTCTGGTATTAAAGACGTGGGCTGCCCTGCTGGCTGAGGAAGGGACTTAACAGGAACTTCACAGACCGTTTCCTAAAATATTCGCACTGCCAGGACTACACTACACCACACACCAGATGTGGTGGAGAACCTGGCTATCCAGTCCCCTGGCTCTATCAATGTTAATTGCAAACTCATTCAAGAGCCTTCCTGCCCTTGAGTTCCTGAAACAGAAATGTTTCCATGTCTTTTTAAAAACAGCTTCTAGGGGGCTGAGAGGTGGCTGCTCCTTCAGAGGACCTCAGTTCAGTTTCCAGTACCCACACGGATGTTGACAACTGTCTGTAACTCCAGTCCCAGGGGATCCGATGCCCTCTTCTGGCCTCTGCAGGCACTGCACACATGTCAGATACAGACATACCTTTAAGCAAATGTAACATACAATAAAAGTAAATATAAATCTCAAGACAACAACAAAGTCAGCTTCTGGCCCCGAGAAATGTCTCTGTGTGGGTCAAAGTGTTTGCTGGCAAGTCTGAGGAGTTTAATCCCTAGGAGACAGCAGATTCTCGCAAGTTCTCGTCTGACCTCCGCATGCGTGCCATGCTAAAATAAGTGAAGAGAAAATCATCTTCTGCCATTAGTTTCTCTTTAAGTGAGGTTCGACCGAGACAGCCAGTGTGCCTCACAGAGAACTCTGTCAGCAGAACTCCAGGGAAGTGCGCTTGTGCTGACTGAATGATAAGCATTCGGGATTGCATCTAACACTGCCCCTTCTCTTTCTGTTCATTCTAAATAAGCATCATCGGTGACAGGGAAAAGCCAGGGCTTGCTCTCCAGAACCCTTTGTTGTAGACAAACAAACTTGAAAAGCCATTATGAGTTCCCAGTGGGTTGGACACCAGAGAGAAAGGGTAGTTGTTCCAATTGAGGCCATCTTGGGCATAGGAGCTTGCAATCCTCAAAGTTTAAAAACTATATCAATCTAATATATACATACTTATATGTATGTATGTATACACACACACACACACACACACAAAGGAAGCGCATCATTCTAACATAAATTATCCCATAGTTCATGAAGAGCACAGCCATCAAAAAGTTGGTTTTGAAATTCATCTCAAAAAGCCAAGATAGGTTTTTGCTTTTGGTCTTTCTCGGATTGGTTATTTTGTGCTGCTTCTTAACACGTGGCAAGACTAACTAGCCTTGCCCTGCCTTCCGAGAAACTTCTTGTTTCCAAGCAGTGCTAGGCAGGCAATTGTCCTTTCCTCATTTTACAAGAGAGGAGGTGTTTGTATATCCCCAAGAGAGTGTCTCCTGAAAGACTGGGAGTAGGTTTAGAGTATGACCGGCTAAGAAAAAGAGCCCAGATGGCTGAAAGGACAGCCTGGGGAGACCCCACGGCCCGTCGCCCTCCCCAGTGGCCAGGGTTACCTTCCTAGGAACTTCCAGCCAAAGCCAGCTTTGGACTGGACTAGCTAAAGGGGCAGCCTCTGAGACTTGTCTGGAGTCCTGTTCCAGAACCAGCCGGGCTCAGGTAATGGCTTCCTATTGTTTGTGAGAGAAAAGGCAGAAATATACAGTCTCATCCAAGTTTCTGCTCTGTAAACTGAAAATAGAAATTCTCCTTGTGAGTGCAGTTTAGCTGGGAGGACGTCTTGGTATACAATGAGTTGGAAAATATTCTGGAGGTGAAAGATCACAGCCGTGTTTGGCCTGCGTCCTCGGAACTGGTATTTTAAGGCATCGGCTTCATGTATTTTTAGACCTCCGAGTGACTTCCTCAACAAACTTACTTTTTTTTTTTTTTTTGCCAAATGTCATTTTTATTGAATGCAGAAAAAAAGCCACCCTAGCTTGTCCTGCTTTCATTTGGGTGCATTCCCAAATCTGGGGAATTAATAAAGGGAGTTCATGGGAGGCATTGATAATGGAACCAAATAGAAGGCCTTGTGAAGGTTCCAGAACTGGAGGCTTCTGGCGGTTAGCACCTCGGTCTCTCCAGTTTTAAATCCCTCAGGCACCTCCCTTGGCTGTTGTATCTATTCAGAGGCACAGGCAGAGTGACACTGTCCAGTTGTTTCAGGGCTATAACTCCTAATTTATTAGACTTTTGTTATTGTCCAGGCAAGTATTTTGGTCTGGAAAAAAAAAAAAAAAAAAAAAACAACGAAGAAGAGGTGGCCTTCTGATGTTATTGCATCAGACTCTGGGGAGGTGCATTTTGCTCTGTAGAATGCAGGCAGATTTCACACGTGGGCACACATTTGTGCGTGAGTTGTGCTTGCCCTCCCCCAGACTATGAAAGGGGGAGGCCTGAAAGGTTCACCTGAGTGTTTTGGGGGGGACCTGGAGCCTTTGGTTTCTTTGACGCTGCCTCCTTGTTTCCATCCCCTCAGCCAATGCCCAATCGATCAATTCTCCCACTCGTCACCTCCTTTCCCCTTCTGTCCCCAGTACCAACAGAGTGTGGCCATCACAGCAAAGTGAGGGACTTCACTTCCCGCTCAGCCTGGCTCTACCCTCTCCCCTGTGGAGGCGGGGCGCCAGGGTGACTACTACCTGTGCTGACTCTCACCCTCCCTCCCAGCCAGCACTAGACTCCTCCCCTTCCAGGATGCCCCTTACCTTTTCCTAATGGCTTAAGCGACTCAAATGGAATTACGCAGTAGTTTTTCTGAAGAAGTACCTTACGCTCTTGATTAAAAGCCCAAAGAGGCTTCAGGGACTTTTTTCCCCCCTCACTCTTGAGGAGCATCTGCCAATTTCCCTGATTTTCCTGCTAATTATCTTCGTATTAGCCAGCATTCATTTGACATGTTATAGCTTGAACAAGACGGCAGCAGGCTGGCTGGGGATATAATGGCTGTACAGTTAAAGGCTTACAGGACTTACTCAAATAGAGCCGTGCCGTCAATGGAGTTGCAGCCAGGGAGAGCAAAGCCTACCTTGCAGAGTTGTCGCCCTGAGTTTGCCTTGGTCCCACGCCTCCATCAGAGCCTGGTGTGTTCTGTCGACCACCGGGCTTTCCCCAGCCCTAGAATTACATGGAATGAGAGCACAGCCTCCACGTAAGAAAGCACTGTGTGTCCCTGCTGTCCCATTTGGTGGCTGGGTGTCTGTAGGCAAGTTCATCTGACTTTCCTAGACACCCATTTCCTCGCCTGTAAATCAAGGATGGTATCTGAGGCTTGGTCGTGGTCAAGGTGACACGTGTAATGGGATTTGGAGCATATTAGGCACTCAGTAAATCATAGTGGTTGTCATATCATGATTATCAGCAAAATTAGAATTGATTCTGTGCTTTGCCTAGTACTAGTAGACTAAATGTAGGTGTCAGCCTGGCATGGTGACACATGCTTGTACTTCTAGCCTTTGGGAGGCTGAGGCAGGAGGATCAGGAATTCAAGGCTAGCCTGAGCTACATAGCCAGACTCTGTCTCCAAAAAAAAAAAAAATTGGATGTCTGTTTGAATAAGAAGAGATGGAAGCTGGGTGTTCAAATCCCCATTATTATTCAGTATTTAGAGAGAAGCCCAGACCTCCATGCTAGCACCAGTTGGCTCTTCTTAACATCCGACTGATGGTCATGGCCACACTCACCTTAAGCTTTACACACAGTTGGGGGCCCATATTCACTCCTGCACACAGTCAGCACACAGTCAGCGCGTATGTGTACTAAATGTGCACCGTACTTTAGAATATGGTATAATATGTGTATATAGGAACGGATCCTTCAGACTGACTCATTCTGAGGGAAATTTGTCCAAATCACAAAGTCTAAATGTTATAATTTAAAACTATCTTCTGGTATGGGGCAGAGGAGTTTGCTAGGGATTTGAACTGGGGACTTTGATTTTTTTTTTTTTAATGTGGCCATTGTTGAACCTTTAAAACTGTGTTGAATTTCTGGCTACTATCTAATAAAAAATGTATCCGAGGCTCAAGGCAGAAAGATTGTTCTCTAACAAAATACAAAATTGGGAATATGTGAAAATTCCACAGAGTGTAAAGATCAAGTTTAATCACTAATATAAAATTTTAAGTGTAGACATTCCAATTCCTAAGACAAGTTTTTTTCTTTACATACAAAGAACATGAAAGTATATAACATATGGTAAAAGTCCTATGTATGAATATATACATACATAGTCTAGGTTTCTACAGATGGTTGGCTACATCTAGTAATTGGATACAATTAAATGCTAGCTACATTTTTCAGTAATATACCAATATAAAGTACCAGAATAAAAATTCCATTTCCTTTTTTGTTCTAGGTTCTCTGGGAGATGCTAACAAGGGAGGTCCCCTTTAAAGGTTTGGAAGGATTGCAAGTAGCTTGGCTTGTAGTGGAAAAAAACGAGGTAAGACTCCGTTTCTCCATTCAGGTGCATAGATCAGAAAACAGTATTGGGGTTTTGCAAAAGACTTTTTCATCTTCTTCAAATTGAAAGTAAGTTCACGCTTATGGAAAGATTAGCAGTAGGAGCTAACACAAAGGGTCAAAGTGATGTTATTCCTCATGAATGGACCCTTTACATCTAATTGTTGCAGCTTCACGTCGTGATGCTGTAGATCAAAAATTGTACAAGTACTGTACTAGTTTCTCAGTCTCAATTGTAAAACCGGGGGGTTTGTTCTTAGTGATGAAAGAAGCCATTGCGTCCAAGGTAGGGGAACAGTTTAACTGCATCTCCTGCGTTTAGGACATCTTTTTTACTGGCCGGGAGTTGATATATCTGTAAGAGACCTTCAGCTACTTCAACTTACCTCTCCCAGCAGGAGTCACTATAGTACAAGAAACTGTCGCTTAGATGAGAATTTCAAAAATAAAAGAAGAAAAAATAGTTTCAAAAAGGGGAAAAATTACAGTTTTGCCACCTACGTTGAGCACTACATTGAAGATGAGCTCCTCACTGGAATTGGCGAGGCAGTGGTACAAGTGCTGGCTTCTTCATGCAGAGTCGTTCCATTTCAAAGGGACTTCAGTGGCGTAAACACCGTTTGTGCTGTGTCCCCGGCCTCGCTTTTCTTCTCCCCACAAATTGAGGCTTTCAGCTAGTTGGACCTATGAGCCTACATCAGAGGACACGCCACATCCATATCAAAGAGAGCAACTACATTTTGAAAGGTTTCAAATTGTCGCTGAAACGCACAGCCATGGAAATCGCTCAGCCTAAGGACGCAGCATCCCATCTCACGGCGTGAGGAGAACTTAGATGGTGTTGCGGCCGTGCACGCTGGTGCTTGCCAGGCAGAGTAACTGATTTCCCAGAACTTCTTCATTTCCATAGCTGTATACAAAGGCTGAGAGAGACCTCAAAGGAAAAAAATATTCTCCAGAAGAATATTTAAAGATAGCCCTCTTTTAGCATGTTAGCAGAACTGGATTGATCTGTACCCTGAGTGACTACGGAGTATGCTAGGTTAATCAGAAAGCTGCTGTTGACCAGGAGAAACCAAGATTCTGTCTCCCAGATCCCAAGCTATTTGGCTCGTTTGTCCTCCCGACTCATTGGAAAAGGGTGGCACATTGCGGTGGCTGAATTTGGTGGGAGAGGGCTGCCAGGCTAGGGGATGGAAGGACTTCCACGTAAGACCAGGCCTCCCTCGTTGCTTCACAAGAGCGGTTAGGTTTTAATTAGATGATCATTATTTCCACGTGCTGTTCGGTTAAGATAACTCTCATGGGATAACTAATGGTTTGGGACGCAAGGATCCACTGTTCTGTATCTTTTGCCAGAGAGATGGTTGAGTATTTCGTTCAGGTTGATGAATCCAAATGAAGAGAGCATTGGCCTTCAGCTGACCTGGAAGCAATTTCTACACCACACAGGATAGATTAGGAGAGGAGTTTAGAGAGTCACCCAGATCCTCCAAAGTTGACAGAATAATTAGTATTTCACAATATTTTTTTTTTCAATCTAGAGAAAAGCAGAATAGGTCCAATCCAAAGCGTTTCCAAAGCATTGGGTGTTTAAAGGGGAAGGGAATGGCAGCTTCCGTCCTGCCTGAGTGTTGGGATGCCCCCACTAACACCCCTCAGAACTCCATAGCATCGCTTGCAGGAAGCCACTGCCTTCTGCCCCCTACTGATCCCACGGGACATACCGCCGGAGACTCCAAGACTTCCTGATCTGCTCATTAACTGAAGTAGGAAGTTGAGAGAACCCACACGGTGACAGAAGTTCTCTCAGCTTGCCAATGAGTTGAAGAAAAACCGGTTGAATTAAGGATAATTACCTGCACAGCACTTACTTGTCAAAGAAAAAACAATGTGGAAATTAAGCCTAGATGGGATTTCCAGTGTTGCCGTTGCAGAAGGTTTCTTCATCCCACCACCTTACAGGCACTGACTATCCAAACAAATTCCGCTCACACCGTGTTAAGGCAATTCCCAGAGACTGAGTTCACGTAAGAACAAACCCAAGACCTCAAGAAGCGCAACTCATAGAACCTCTTCAGCCTCCAATAATTTTTTTATCTTTACTGTTGAATACTTTCAGCTATTGGGTTGGAGGAAGGTTCCCATATTTTCACGTCTTCATTTAAATAAGAATGGTGTTTAAACTGCCAAGGAGAAATTGAGAGTGTGGACGGTCTAGTCATTCCGTAACATCTACAGCCAATTAATATGGCCGCTTTTTTAAAGAGCTTTTTATTTTGAAATAATTATGGACTCCTAAGAGTCTGTAAAAATATTACAGAGAATCCAGTGTTCCCAGCTTCCCCACTGCTAATCCCTTATATGGCTGCAGTGGCACCGAGCTGGGCAGTGAGGATGGGGACATCTTACCCAGGTGGCAGTCATCTCTTCCTCCACACAGAGCCTTCCCATCTGATCTGTATGACAATCACGCTAACATTGTATCTGAGGATCTTTGCCTCTGACTCTTATGGATAAGGCTTTTGACTCATCATTTTCCCCTGACGTTAACTTCTATTAGAAATAGACTCGTAAACCCTTGTTACGCCTTACAAAGTAAGCAGTGAACCTTACAGAAGGCGTGAGCTTATGAGAGCATTGCTAAGACACGGTTTTTAATATAGGGTTTCCATGAAAAGCAGTGGGCCTTCAGAAAATTTTAGGGTATAATTTCAACGTTTATAAACACTTGGATTCTTGCATAAAATGTGTTTTGTTGTAAATAGCAAATTAATTAGTGTAAAAAAAATCTTAATAAAACAAAAAATTTCATTGGGACCAGCAAGTCCCAATATTTGCTACCACACCTGACAACCTAAGTTCAATTCTTGGGACCCACATGGTAGAAGAGAGACTACTTCCTCAAACTGTCTCCTCACCTCCACGTGCACACCACAGCACAGCTGTGTGTTTGTACATACACACATGCTCCCCCACATTCACACTCACACACAATTAATTAATTAATTAAAAAATGTTTATCTACAAATTTTTTAAACTTAAATTTTCATTTACTACTTTTGAACTTCAGAAAAATAAAAACGTAGATTTTTCATATCTCATGTGTAAAACAATGCAAAAAATATTTTTTAAAAAATGCCCCCACCTAATTTGATTACTCTAAATTAGTAGGTACTCTTCTTATAAATGTGAAGCTTTTATTCCAAAACATCTAAGCTGTAAGTAATGCTCCATATAGTATCTGGCCATTTCGGGATGTTTGAAATCATTAGGATCGCATTAAAGTTGTGTGATCAGGACATAAATCCTTCAGATTCTATTTGGAAGTACTTTTTTATACACCAAAAAAATCCCTTACATCAGTGTGTCTGAGTCTGTGATTAGCTAATACTTGATAGTATTAGAGATCAAAAATTACTTTTTCTGTGTGTGATGTTTGAAATGTCGTGTCTAAAAAGGCTTCTCAGTAAGAAAAGAGGAGCAAAGGACACCCAAGCCTGTTGACAGTGGCTTCCTTGGTAACCACCAAGGTTAGGCTGTGCTGAAGTGTGTCCATCTGAAACCTACTCGGTTTATACAGAGTGCATGCAGGTAAATGCGTGCCACTGTAGTATGTCTTTTTCTCTCTCTCACACACACACACACACACACACTCTGTACTGGAAATGTGGTCCAGGACTTCCTGCACGCCCGTTGCTCTGCCACTGATGCGTCTCCAACCCCAGGGCTCTCTTCCTAACAACTAAAGTTATAAACTTGCTCTGCTGAAAGGAAAGCCAGAAAGCCTCAGCTCGCCCATGGGCCTCATGCTTCATGTCAGTGGAACCCTATAATGTGAAGAATAAATGGAAATCCTGCAGTACACACATGCTCAGGCAAGATCTTGCTGGACAAGATGATGGGGCCATTTAAGGTGCTGAGCCTTGTGCGGAAATGGCCGTGATAGAGTAAGCGGTGCTAATGACTTAGTTCCAAGACCTGCATGGTTGCTGGTGACAGTCCTTAAAATCGTAGTTAGGTTATGAATAATGCAAAGATCACTGCCCTTTGATTTCTCGTGTGTGGGTGTTGCACTCTTGGGAAGTCTGGTGCAACTGGAAACTGCTCAAAAATATTTCTGTTTATTTCTAACTCAGTTTGAGGCCAGGTCCAGAAAATTATAAACTTCGTTTTGTTTACTAGGCTAATATAGACCCACGTGGAACATTTGCAATTTGATGGCTTGCATGAGAGTCCTTGGTTATATGGTGCTTTGTGGTATATTGAAGGATGTCTGGTCATCATTTATTTTCATAGCGTGGAGGATCAAACTCAGTGCCTCATCCATGCCAGGCCCTTCTGTCGCTGTCACTGAGTTATTGGCCCCTCAAGCCTTTGAAAACAAAAATTCTTCTGGGAATAGGGATGTGTCATGGTCTATGAGAACCAGAACTGGGGGATGTGAGAGGAGAATTGATCCTCGCGAAGGTAGAGCCATAGCGAATCGTGTATTCTGAATGACACATTCAGAATTACCAGTTCCCAAATGCGGAGTGATCTTCTGTGCCAAAGATGTTTTCAGAGCTCCACACCTATTGCCAAAACTCAACTTGTTTCCTAGTTACCGGGCTGGTAAGCTGGAACCTATAAAAACAGAGCAATAAATTGGTGATGTTAGATGATGTAGCATGATGTTCCAGCTTGCCCCTCTCCGGGTGTAGTTTCTTCCTAATGACGAACCTGACCTTTCCATCGTCCATGATTTCCATGTGGGCAAGTGGGTCCTTCAGAGGTTGGACAGGACAAATCTGTGCATGAATCCTCCTGTCATCTATGAATCCAGGGATGCTTTAGATCCCGGGTCTTGTCTGTGCTTCTAAATTAGTTCTTTGATGATCCTGCGAAGGGCACTTCCTTGTCCCGAAGAGTAAAGCCTTGTTTCTTCTTCTGTTTGCCTTCTCTTTGTAGAGATTAACCATTCCGAGCAGCTGCCCCAGGAGCTTTGCTGAGCTGTTACATCAGTGTTGGGAAGCCGATGCCAAGGTACTTGTGTTATTGTTCAAACTTCTGAAGTTTTACCTGTTCACTTTTGGGTTTTGAAAACTTGGCGTTGCCAAAAGCCTTACACAGCGGCAGGGAACTGCCGAGCCTGCGAGCCCCAGAAGCCCCATGGTGACACCTCCACAGCTCGACTTCTGGATCAAGTCATTATCATCAACTCTTCCTTCTTTTAACAGAACTCCTTGGCGTTCTTGACTCAAAAGACAATTTTGTTCTTTTGCTTTCAATCATGACCATTGTGCCTCGTAAGAACAGCTAACACAGTACTTTATGTGAGGCTGTGTTTCGAGCACTTTCTACTAACTCTTGGATAGAGGAGCTGAGCTCACCCTCGGCTCACAGATGGAGAGCCCAGGCACACACAGGTTAAAGATGAGTCAAGGCCCCATAGCCCGGGGCCCTGATGGGGCTGGACATGAACCCAGACAGTCTGCCATGGCTCTTAGTGTCAACTCCACTGCCTTTAGATCTAACGGAGAAGCAGGCAGAAGCTATACTTCATTAGAATCCTAGTGTATCCTCCCAGGGCAGTCACAATAAGACTGAAGAAATTCCAATCCTAGGCCTTCATGCGGTTGTCACTTTAAGCATGATTAGCTAATGTCTTTTCCCCACAAAGATCAGCTTTAAGAAGATACTCTTGGATGCAAATGATAGCTGGTCCTGGCTTTGCTTCAAAAACAAGTGAAGGTCCATGGACAGCAATACTGTTAAATATGACTGGAAGCGATAAGTCTTGAAGCCCAGTCATAGAATATAGAGACATTGCTTTTTGCGGGCTTGGATTTTCATAATAAAGGTCATTTTAAAATTTGTAATTTTAAAATGAGTCTCAGATTAAATATTAAAACAATTGAGAGATCAAATTCAAAAGAGAAGCAAAATTCATAGTTCAAATTTATTTAGTTTTTTTTTTTCATGGAACTAGAGATATTACAACTGATTCAGAAATAGAGGCCTAAAAAAACAACAAAGGAACCTAAAAAGTATGGAATTCTTCCTCAATTTATACCCATTCCCACTGAGAGATGACTGGAGTCTGTTCCAGGGCAATGTGCTTCTTTGGTGGAAATGGCTTAGAGACAAACTGGCCGTGTGGGCAGAATTCGGGTTGATGTATGCAGAGTGTTTCCGGCACACCGTCCCCAAAGAGACAAAACACAGTGGTACTGCAGCAGCCCGCCATGGTCGGGAGCCTCCCACCATGTGCCTTGCTTCCATTCTGGGAAGATTGAGTTGCTGGGCTCCGCAGCCATGCACAGCCTGCCTTGGCCCCGTGTCCTGCAGCTTCCGGCTTCCAGTGCAGCTCTTCAGACTTTCTGCAGCCTCCTTGCAAGTGGAGTCCTTTATACCTTAGTATTATTTTTTCTTAAAGAATGTGATGTTTGCATTGTTACTATTTTTATTAGTACCCTGACAGAGAAGTTGAGTGTTCTGCCCTACCCCTGATTAGACCCTCTTATTTCCAGTGTGTGATTTTTTTTTCAGAATGTGGTGTTGCATTCAGTATTAGAAGAAATGTACACTTTACAGCTACTTAGGTTAAGCTGTAAGCAGATGTTTACACGTTTATTTTCAGACCTGTGCTCTTTGACTTTTGTGTCTGTTAAAAACATATACAGTGATTTCAGTAGCGTTGAAATCTTACCTGTGCTTAATTAAAAATTTCACCTCAAATTATTTGCATTGAATTAGATTAATGCAACCAGATTGCTAGATTGGAATCATTTTAGTACGATTCAGTTTCTCAGTCAAAAACTTCGTGCTGTATTAGTTAAGATCCTGAGAATGTGCACTTACATTTTAATATGCCACAGGGAACCTAGGCCCAAAAACAGAGCCTATGAAACTGGCATGTCTTTAACATGTAGGAAGTAGAGCCCTTTTTAGGACCAGAAGAATCTTGTGTTCCAGTCATCTGAAGTATAAAAGAAGTCTGAAACTAATTTTTTGTTTCCTTAAGTTTTTGACATCTTATTCTGATAAGAAGTACTGCAGGCCATTGCATTTGATTTGGCTGGACAGTGGCTGCAGCTCACACTTCAGTCCTCGTGTGCTAATCTGCACGCATATCTCACATGCATCATGCCCTGAGCACACTCATTCTCGGGGAGTACTTCACTGAGTCTTCCCTGACACCTGCTAACCCTTTTCCAGACCCAGAATCCGTCTGGGTTGCTACCCTAGCTTGTATAGTGCTAGCCTTTCTTGCTAAATGGATTGAGGGAATGTGTGTGTGTGTGTGTGTGTGTGTGTGTGTATACCTGTAGGAACACCACACACACACACCACACACACACACACACACACGAGTTCCTGTGGCACTTTGCAGCAATAGAAAGTAGATGCAGAAGCCAGACCACCGTAAATTTTCTGAGGTTTATTTTCATGCTTTGGCTCGAAGTTGGTGCCATCCTCTGGTAAACGGAGGGCAGGAGTTGGTTCAAGTAGTTTATTCCCATTTTCAGTCCTTAGACTTCAGAGCGTTAACACAGATTACACTCTGCAGTTTCCCTGCGGGGCTGGTGTTCTTCTGCAGTGAAGAAGAGAGATGTAGGAAAAATGTGGCGTTGTGTAAATGACAGAGCAGTCTGGTCGCCTGTATCGTATGTTCAAAATCGTTTATTGGAGTTGGAAATGTAACTCAGTTTGGTGGAGTGCTTATCTAGTATGCACAAAGGTTTGAACCCTGGGTTCAAACCCCAGCCCTTCATAAACCAAGTGTGGTTGGTCATGCCTACAATCCCAGCGCTAGGGAAGCAGAGGCAGAGGATTAGAAGTCTACATTAATAAGTTCAAGACCGGCCTGGGATATTCAAAACCGACCTCAAAAATTAAATTGTATGTGTGTGTGTATGAATGAAAATAAGAAAAGAAAGGTGAGTATTGATTTGTCTTTAAATGACATCCCTGGAGCTGATAAGCAGGGAGCAGTTGTTATCATACTCTGAGATTAAAGAAGGGAAGTTTAAGAGCACAGTCCAGGTCTGTGACCAGCTCCTGTGTCACGCTGGATAACATATGCCTTTCTGAACTAGATGCCCTATGTATGAAATGGAAATAGCCAATAGAGACGTAAGAAGTGGGGACATTCCTTTAGTGGGATAAGTGGTCCTCGTTGCAGCTTCTTTTTAAGATGAGCCATCTGTAACAACACTCCAAAGGCAGCTAAGCCCTTCAGAGGAGGAGCCACAGGCCCCCAGCACCGTGCTGTGTTCTGCAGCCAGCACATTTAAACCATCACTGAAGAACTGTACATTGCTGAACTCCTGGGCTCCAGTAATCCTCCAGCCTCAGCCTCCCAAATAGCTAGGACTACGGGAATGTCCCACTGCAGCTGGCTGGGGGTGGAGGTTAATCCTCATCCCAGTAATGACTTTTTAAAGGGGATGCTTGAGATCTGAATCTGAAGGAGTTTAATTTTACTTCAAAAATACTTACATGTGGCCAGGCGATGGTGGCGCACGCCTTTAATCCCAGTACTCAGGAGGCAGAGGCAGGTGGATCTCTGTGAGTTCGAGACCAGCCTGGTCTACAGAGCTAGTTCCAGGACAGGCTCCAAAGCCACAGAGAAACCCTGTCTTGAAAANAAAAAAAAAAAAAAAAAAAAAAAAAAAAAAAAAAAAAAAAAAAAAAAAAAAAACTTACATGTAGGGGGAAACAAGTCTTTAAAGGTTCATTAGGTGGACTGGGGATGTAGCCCAGTTGGTAGAATGCTTGCCTCATATGCACGAGGCCCTGGTTTCAGCCCCCTGCACTATATGAGCTAGGTGTGTTACACAGCCCAGCATTTGGGAGGTAGAAGAAAGATCAGGAGTTCAGAGTCATCCTCAGACCCAGAGTTGGAGGCTAGCCTGGGATCCATGAGACCAGGATTGGTGACGCTGTTCTGTTTGTTTCTTTAAAGACAGGAACCATTAGCTTCCCTTGCTACTTTTTTCTTGCAAAATGGAAATCCTATGTCACCTGTGTTTATAATCAGTTCTTAAGCAGTTACACTTCTTTCTTTTTCCATTTAAAACCTGACACATGGTGGAAGACATGAAGACAGGAACAGAGTTTAAGAACATTGGCTTCTTTTCCTGCGTCCTATTTAAAGCGCGTTCCTTTGTTCGTCGGTAACATTTGACTATGCATGATTTCTTCACACACACACACACACACACACACGCACGCACACACGCACGCACGCACGCACGCACACACACACACATTGTGGATGCACACACCTGTGCGCCTTCCCCTAAAACAAACAAGGCAGAAGTCAGTAAATATCCTAGCTTTGTATTCCTGAGTTATGGGAAAGTGCTTTTCTTAATAATGTCAGAGGCACCAGGTCCTGAGAGCAAGCCACCTCAACACTGTTCCTTCCTGTTTTTGTGCTCCTAAATTAAAATGCGTGTTTTAATTGCTGTAGCTGTAATTTGCTCTGAAATGGTGTAATTATGAGGCACGATGAGGAGAGAATGTGCATCATCCTTTTATTATCTTTCTCCATTTTTGTTTTAACCTTTTGTCTCAGCCTTGGCTGGAGCGGAGAGAGGTGAGCGTAGAGACAGTGCCTGTTAGAGACAGGTGGAGCGTGCTTTTCCAGTTCTGCCTACAGCCTGGTAAGCGTCCTGGACCAAAGCAGGCTTCAGTGTGGGATAAACCCTCAGAACCATGATGTTATTATGACGTAAAGATTTTTTTTTCAGACCAATTGATTTGGGAAATTTTATTAGTTCCATTAGGTCAGTAAGCAGATACTGCCTGCCCACACACATTTTACAAAAAAACAGGCAAAAGATGGAAACATTTGCGTAGGAAATAGCAGAACATTCAAAATGCATAATCCAGTTAAGTTTTTACTATCTCTCCCACATAGGTAAGTCTCTGGTGACTTAAGATTTTTTTTTTAATCAGAGTTCTTGGTCATCTCTCAAAGAAGGACGTGGTCCCTCTCTTCTTACCTACAAAAGAGTACTCATTAACCTGATGCCCTGTTGTTAAAATAATAAATCCACATATCTATCCTATGGATAATTTGGGCCCCTACACCTGTGTGATCTGATGGCTATAAACGCTAAGAGGGAGCCCGGCCGTGGTTTCGTCGGTTGTGGCTCCGCTCCCTCTTCCCGTTTCCTTTAAGTCTCACGGTGGTTCCTTTTTCTCTTCTCCAGAAACGGCCATCGTTCAAGCAAATCATTTCGATCCTGGAGTCTATGTCCAACGATACGAACCTTCCCGACCAGTGTAACTCGTTCCTGCACAACAAGGCCGAATGGAGGTGGGTAGCTCCGGTGAGGCGCGAGTCCCCGCCCACGGCTTCAGTGATGAGACCGGATAGCTGATGGACAGTCCTGATTTCTAAGCACTACCGGGGCTGGGCGCAGGCTAAGATTTACCTTTCGTGCATAAGGAAGCAAGAGTTTCTCTGTGTTTGTTTTCTTAAATAGCATGCATCTAAGTGTTTGGGAAGAGTGTCGAATCACATACTCCGAAGCAAAGGGCATTTCCAGAACCTTCTCTGTATACGTTCTGTGTTAGGAAGCTTTAGCCTCTGTCCAGAAGAAGAAAAAAAATTAAAAGAAATAGATATGTATCCTGTTAGCCTTGCCATGTACTGTATTTACTAGTGCAGGGAATAGGGAACCTGTAAAAAACGTGTTAGATGTTATAAATCCTAGCTAAACAAATCAGTAAAGAGAGATTTGTATTGTGTAAGTGGAAAAAGTAAATCCAAGATGAAACAGTTGGACTAGACCGAATGACGCAGGGAATATAAATAGCCTGTTTGGGAGCTGGACGCCGTTCCTCCCCTGACTCAGCAGAGATCTGAAGTAACTTCATCCCTGCTCCTGCTATCAATCTCTGGCGGTAACGCAATGCCCTACGCCACCTGCTGGTGCTAGGTCAGTACTGCGTGCTCATGGCGAGCCTCTGGATCTTGACTCCTGTCAGTCAGCACACACTACCCTGGGCTTTCGATTTGATTGATATTTTACAATGACCTTACTTATTTTCATTCCTTTGAAATAACTGCCTAATACCAGTCGCGTTCATGAATTTTTCTTGGCAATACAAAATTAATGCAGCGAGCTCTAATCCAGAGCTGAGGGCTTTTTTTTTTTCCTGGTCTAAAATAACAAAACCCCGGTGAGACATTGTTTCCTATGGTGACAGGTCAGTGCACATGTAATCATATCACTCCCCCTCAAGCTCCGGATGTGGCTCCACTGCTTTTCAGACAAAGACGGAAACACTCACCCTTCAGAGGACCCCATTATCTTGAGCATGCCCCGAGCCTCGGGCTTTTGGTCGCCCCACGAAGGCACATTTCTCTCTTCCAGAACCTCTGCAATGCGGGCTCCTTTTTATAGCCACCCTGTTTCAGCTGCACCTTCCTCCTGCGCCTCCCCCAGCTCCCATTAGCCGTCTAGGTAACTGCTGACCTAGCTCACCTGCAAGGGAGCAACCCCCACCCACTCCCTGGTCAGGTCAGTGCCACCGGGCTCTGAGATCACTGTGTTCACGTGCCTCGCCGCTGGAGGGTTGAAAAGGCAAACTGTTTGCTGTATTTCTGTCTCCATCTTGTCCAATAGCAATTGCTCGGGAAACATATGGGAAGGAAGGAAGAGAGGCATCAGGGAAAGAAAGCAGGTAGGCAGGCAGGCAGGGAGCGTGGCGCTTGAGACACAGGGAACACCGCTCTCATGCCCTGGGCACAGCGCTTACAACCACATTCCTGAAACCTCTCCTGGTGCAGGAGAGGCTGCTCCTTCCCTAGGTGCTGGGCTGCAGTCATGTGGACAAAGTCCCCAGATGTGTGGCATTCTCCAGTAGCAGCCTCAGAAACATCCATGTTACAAGGCCAGACATAAGACACTGGTAACCATCCGCATTGTGTGTGGTAAGCCATAGGACAGAGACGCCATGGCTAATAGAGCATTTGCAGTGAAATCTGATCCTCTGATCTGGGTGTATAATGCAGGGGTTCCCTGAGGAAATGCTATTTGATGTGTTATCCAAAGGATTAGCGGGATTTTAAGCCTGTGAGTATTAGTGTGTCAGAGATAGGCTTCTTTAAGTGCACCAAGAAAGAAAACAAAGCAAAGTTAGTAAATTTCCTGAAAGAAAAAAAAAAAGAATTGAAATTTCCTAAATCCAAAACCAGTACCCACCTAATTTTGCAAGAGAAATGGCATCCTGCTATAACTTTCTTCCACTATGTGGTAGACTAGAGCTTCTCAACTGTTTGGTGCCTAGGACTCCGGTTCAGTTTGTGTGTGTGAGCATGGGGGGATTATATGCGTGGGTGTGTGCAGGCACAAGTGCACACACGTGTACAGAAACAGGAGGAGGATGTTGAGTGACCCTCTCTGTCATGCTCTCCTTTTCCTTGAAACCGGAGCTAGGCCGTGGGCAGCAAGTCCAGCAGAGACAGCACTGGGGCTGTAGACAGACACGGCCACCGCCAGCTTTGTGTGCATGTGCCAGGATCCCATGCTTGTCCAGCAAATACCCCTGCCCAGAGAGCCGTCTCTCACGCATCTCAATTTCACTCTTAAAAAATTATGGGGACTCCAAAAAAAAAATCTTTGAGTAAATGAGTCATATATGATAGTATTTATTACATAAAAGAGAACTGAAAAATGATAATATATTTATCAATTCATTTAAAAATAGTAAATTCATGCTGCTGAAAAGATGGCTCAGGGGCTAAGAACATTTACTGCTCTTTCAGAGAACTGCAGTTAGTTCCCAGCATCAGGAGGCTCAGAGCAGACTGCAACTCTAGCTGCTGGCTTGGACTTTTGAGGCCTCAAAACCAATCCCCAGTGATACACTTCCTCCAATGAGGCTACACCTCCTAATCCTTTTCAAACAATGCCACTCCTTGATGGCTAAACATTCAAATAGGAGCCTAAGGGGGCCTTTCTTTTTTTTTTTCCTTCTTTCTTTCTTTCTTTCTTTCTTTCTTTCTTTCTTTTTTTCTTTTTTTTTTTTGGCTTTTGGTTTTTTTTGAGACAAGGTTTCTCTGTGTAGCCTTTGCTGTGTGCATATTAGGACCCATTACGTGTTCCTTAGCACAACTCGAATACACTTCTTCTCACCGTGTAATCTACAAGCCATATGAGTAGTTTTTCAGAATGACCCACGATTTCCCAGTAAATCTGTCTAACTAGAGAAGAATAATTGCAGTTCATTTCCTGGGAAGGGAAAATTGATACTAGCTGAAATCAACCTTGGCTGGGTTTGGTGTTAGAGAATCGGTTTTTACCGACAGGTTTTAGATGTGGAAGGGTTGTATATCAACACATCCACGGCAGTGATGCGCCCGTTCAGAACAAAGGACACCACGAGGGTGTGATGCCTTCTCATGCCCATGGGCGTGGGCCACTCTCCTGGCATTCAAGAGGGCGCAGTGCCAGGAAGCCGGGCCTGCAGCACTGCGGAAGGTTATCCTCCCAGTTGAGATGCCTTTCAGAAATACTGGATTTTATGGTAAAGTCACAATTCTGAAAGATTCTGCTCTCATGGCTGTTCTTGGACCTGCACTGTGACCTCAGTGTCCCTCCGTGCTTTGTCAATGGTCCCAGTGAAGGACTTTCCCTACAGGCAGGGAAATGACGGTTTGGCTCCCATGCAGATCCTCCTCCAGGCTCCCCGTGAGCTAGGCGACTCACTTTTCATGCCTAAGGAGTGGAGTAATGTGTCCACTTCTTCTGACTTTCCCTGGAAATGCGGGGCAGGTTTTGCTTAGCTGAGCACTGGGGGCCCTGCCTTTCCTTCCACACCCAAGGTCTCGCCATGACAATGTAGTGTGTAGAGCCGTGTTGTCTCAGCAGCCCACGGGAGAGTCCTCTCAGGACACCAGAGGTGTGTCCTTCAGGCTTCCTGGCTTCCTTTGCAGGCGTCTGCACCACCGCCTCGGCCCTTCCATCTCTCCTTTGGCTCATGGCTTGTGTGCAAGCTCTTCAGAAACCCAAGGGAGAGAACTTCCAGTTCTCAGGGCATAAATTTAGACATTCACATTGTGACAGCCCTGAAGGAGGAAACGTTCCTGCTTGAAGCCTCTTGCCAGGTTCAGTTTCTGTAAAGAACAGTTTCTGTTACTGGGCACAGTGTCCTAAGTAGCCCAGACCTGAGGGAAGGAACTTTCTTTAAGATTATAGAGTCTAAAAGAAATGCAGAATTTTCCTGGACTGAAGTATCTCATGCTTGCTAGATTATAAAACTCATTTGCTTGGGATTCCTATGTGTACAAACTTGTATGTCCTCATCTATATATGTTTCTTGTGCTTTTCTTTTGGCCTTTTTTCTGCTGTTTGTTTTGTCCTATTCTAGTTTGTGTTTCTGTTTTATCTTATTCTATTTTTATAGTTATTTTTATAGTTATTCTTTTGATTCCTGGTTGTTTTCTAAGGAGAGACAGAAAGAGTTTGGATTTGGATGGGCAAGAGGAATCTCAGAGGTGTTGGGGAGGGGAAACCATAATCAGAGAATATTGTAGGAAAAAATGACTTTTTAAGTCAGGGTTTCTCTCTGGTAGCACTGGCTGTCCTGGAATCAGTTCTGTAGACCAGGTTGCCTCAAACTCAAAGAGATTCTCCTGCCTCTGTCTCTGGAGTGCCAGGATTAAAGGTGTGAACCACCACTGCCCAGCTGGAGAAATGTCAATTTTCAATAAAAGAAAAATAGGGGGAAAAAAACCCTACCTGTGCTTGATAATAGTGGAAAAAGTCAAGTCTTGCCCAGCCAGCAATTCATGCACTTGCTCTCTAAGGTAGAGTCGTAGGCACTCATGTTTCATTGTTTTCAACAAGCAGGCCCAGGACTTCTCAGGATGAGGCACCTGAGAACCCTGGGTGGCATCTTATAACCATTGCCCCTACAGCCAAAGAAACGGCTAGGTTAAGCAACCTTGCTGAGCCCCATCATGGGCAAGAATGCTAGCCCAGTAACTCACCCATCCGGTCCACAGATTGGTACCCATATCTTGGGGCTGTTATAGAAGTAAGATGAGAGACCGTGAGACGGTGCTTTGTGGGTTGTAAAGCTTCATAAACGACAAACAGGTACTAAATGACCAACCCACGATGCCAGCTCCTGGCTTGGGCTTCGTAGTTCCCGATCTCTCTTCAATGCTTTGTTGAAATGCTTTGAGTTTTTGTTTTTTTTCTTCCCAACTAGAAACTGCCTGTTGATTTTGAAGGCTAAAGAGTCCTGCTTCTTCTCTGGTTGGTTCCTGGCCAATTTCCAAGCCCCACCTTAGCTTTTCATTTGGTTAGCACTCTGATAGGCCCACTGAGTGTCCCCAGTCCCACCAGCAGCGGAGACTCACTGAGTTACCTCTCCGCAGGTGCGAGATTGAGGCCACCCTGGAGAGGCTGAAGAAACTAGAGCGAGACCTCAGCTTTAAAGAGCAGGAGCTCAAAGAACGAGAGAGACGCTTGAAGATGTGGGAACAGAAGCTGACAGAGCAGTCCAACACCCCGGTGAGTACGCCACCTAGTGGCTCCCTGCAGCACTCGCAAGCCTGGCTGAGCATGGCAGCATGCCTAATCCCTCCACCTCTAGCTCTTCCCTGCCCTGCTCCTGAGAATTGAAGGCCTGCTCTGGTCGTAAAGTGTATAAAACACCAAAACACCACATATTTAAAGGAAAAACCTATTTAAGAGGGGAATCCCTCCTTCTGGATCTTTCCTTAAGAACTGGTATTCTCTCGGAGCATTTGTACGTTGAAGTTACTAGAGTACAATCTGCTGTTGTTGGGCCATCCGTTAGGGTCTTAGCACGCTGTTGGAACTCTGCTGTTGAGCAATGGATAACTGGAGTGGCTGGGCGGCCAGGAATGTCTGGGTGTGTCAGAACTTAGCCACATTTGCTTTCTAAGATCGAGCCGGCCTGCCGCTGACAGTGATGACGAGCATTAATATTACTTATTAATTCAGTGCTATGATTATGAGCGGCATAAAATGGGGCAAAGGCTTCTCCTGGGACAGGAAGCCTGCTTGCTTTACCTTTAGAAAGACCCTTGCTCTCTCCTAAGCCCAGAGGAGCCCTGGGTCTTTATCTTCTAACCTCGAGTTTAAGTTGTCCGTCAAATTTGAGATCGCGGTTCATCATTCTTCTAGATTTTAAGTAAGAGTTACTTTCAGAAAGCAAGAAAAGCTTACGATTGGTCTTTCCAGAATTTTCAAGTGGGCAGTTTTGATCCACTTCAAATCACAAGGAATGAGAGATTAAAATAAAGTGATTGACAAATTTATCAAGGAAAAAGTTCAACGCCCATCACTTTGTGTTCCTCAAAGACCTTTCGTATCTAGACAAGTCTTAACCTCCATTGAACAGCCTGTGATATATTGCAAGATGCCATCCCATGTCTAAAGAATGAGAGAAATTGTTTCTACCTCCAATTCCTATGGAGAAGCCCTCTAACCCCCCCCAAAAAAAGAGAATGCATCTAAATATTACAGATTTACCCCTTTTCAAAAATGCCCTTGGTAATCCCAAGAATGCCAAGGTCAGAACTGCATTGCTGTGCATAAGACTGTCACAGGATACTAAAAAGGTACCTCACTTCTGTGAGTGAGTCCTGTGGACTTAACCAGTAGAGGGGCGAGTCTCCCGTTCAGAATGAGTGGGTGCCGGCTGGATGCGGCACCCAGGGCAGGCGGGAGCAGGAGCGAGAAGGCAGCCTGTCCCTGGAGCCCATCCGCTGAAGGCTGGGGGCTCTTTTGTTTTGCTTTTTAAGTGCATTGAAACCTTAACTGTAAAGCACTGCATGGCTTGACTCCATCTAAACGCAGTATTGTCAGGAAACTTTCAACCGCCTATTAGAGTGCGCTTTAGAACCTCGCCTTGGCTTTATTGGCATCAGTTTTGCTAAGAAATTATGGGCTGCCTCGCACACATTATTGCTGCTGGTAACACCGTTGTGGATTAAAGAATAAAACGCCACGGGTGCTTAGTAGGTTGTATCTTGCGTTTTTTAAGCTCCAGAAAACTTCGTTTAAAGAAAGTGCTTTGCGGGCCACCAGCTAACGAGGGACAGCATGGTGCATGTCTCCGCGTGGCTCCCTCCCTTTTCCCTACAAGGCCCAAGTTTTCTTTGTTTATAATACTTGCTTTCAACGTCTCCTCTGCCTAGAGCCGGTATTTCTAAGGGGAAGGAGTTTATGCTCAGGTATTTGATGAGCAGCTGCCTCCTTTTATCCTCACTTCAGTTTCTAGTTGGCTTTAAACTTGACTGCTGAGAACAAGAGACATCTTTTTTAAAAGTGGCAAGACTGGGCTTATATATATATATATATATATATATGTAGCTTCTTCTGAAATACAACAGCCGAACATTTGCACGACTGCACAAAAATACTATCACATAGATTTCAGGGATACGGTTTCCTTCCTAAAGCTGACACATAAAAGAGGCTTGGAACGATGCGTTCTCTGTGCATAACTAGGGTGATGCTGATTTTTAATTATTGTTGCCGTTTGCTGTCTTAGAGATAAAGTCTTTTTTGAGAAATATTTATGGAGCGCCTAAGAGGCTAACATTACATGAGACGAGACCTCAGCGATAATAAAACAAATGAACAGCAAAGAGTTCCTTAGAGTTTCTATCAGCTGAAAGCCAATTTGAGAATGTTGGGAGGATGGCCATAGGGAGTGAGGCCCTGCCCCATGAGGCAGGACCTGAGACTGGCTGGACCCCGTGCCCTTGATACAGAGCCTGCAGTGCCAAAATTCTCTCCTAATAGAATGAGCTGGTTTTTGAAAACAGCTCAACAGGAACTCAAATTAGAAAACAAGGCGATGGAGATGGCTCTGTGGCTGCACGTGCTTGCCAGGGCAAGCCGAGTGGAGTCCCTGGAGACCACAGGGTAGGAGAGACCTGACTCCCAAAGGTGTCCTCTGACCTCCACACATGCGCCTGAGGCATTCACATGCCTGCAGCAATAGTAGATAAGGTTTTTAAGTTCTTAAAACTTAAAAATAAAAATGGCACTAAGTATTTGGTGCCTTCCCAGTCAGAATGTGAAGCTCATCCGGGAATTTCACCGTCCGTGCATTTCCCCAAGTTCATGCATGTGATGTCTACCCACTGTATTTGCTTAGTTCTCAAAAGGAGATATAAAAACATCATTTTAAAAAACTTTTTTCAGACAGTATTTCTCTGTGTAACAGTCTTGACTGTACTGGAACTCACTTTGTAGACCAGGCTGGACTTGAACTCATAGAGATCCACCTGCCTCTGCCTCCCGATTGCTGGGATTAAAGGTGTGCTCTGCCACTGCCCAGCTAAAAACATCATTTTTATATCCTGACAGTTTTACTGTAAAAGAAATAGAACCAGACATTAGAGATTAGGCTGGCTGTTGAATTACACAAGGAAGAAGATAAACACTTATTACCCCCACGACAGTGTGAGAAAGAAAACATACATAGACAAAGCTGCTGTGAGCAGTGACGACAGCAAGGAGCAGTCTCGGGATCCTAAGCATGCTCACCCAGTTTCCCCAGACTTAAAGGTTAGAGACAGGCTCTAGAATTTGTTCCCAGGTGGGCTATATAAGAACCTGAATGAACTACACAGCGTCAGATCTAGCTGGAGTCAGTAATGAACGGAAGGAACGAGAATAGTGGCCTTCAGAGTGTGCTGGGGCACCAGCCCGTGAAGTCCCCAGCCAGACACACAGCCTAGCTGCTTCTGCCCTTCCTCTGAGCTCTTTCTTGGGATTTCTGGGTTTTTTTTTTAACTTGAGATTTAATCTCTGCTTCGTTTCTTTTCTTTTTTTTTTTAAATTAATTGAGTGATTAACCAAATGTTTCTGTACGGAGGTGAAACTAGGAATAATTATAAAGAGACCATCCTAAAACCTTTTTTGTTTTAAGCGAAGCAAGGACTTCAAACTGGTCCCTACCTGTCCATTTGGGATTTGGCTCATGGTTGGTGCTTTGCCATCTTTCAGTTATGATTTCCGCTGTGATTTGTAAATTATGGCTGAACCTGCCAGGATGTCCGTCTTCACCATTCACCTCCTGCATAGTACCAGCTGATGTTGTGGTATCTGTCTCCTGATTTAAACTGGTACTAATCTCTCTTTTCACCTCTGTCCTTTCTTCCCCTTTGATAGCTTCTCTTGCCTCTTGCTGCAAGGATGTCTGAGGAGTCTTACTTTGAGTCTAAGACTGAGGAGTCCAACAGTGCAGAGGTGTCATGCCAGATCACAGCGACGAGTAACGGGGAGGGCCATGGCGTGAAGCCGAGTCTGCAGGCCATGATGCTCATGGGCTTTGGGGATGTCTTCTCAATGAACAAAGCAGGAGCTGTGCTGCATTCTGGGATGCAGATAAACATGCAAGCCAAGCAGAATTCATCCAAAACCACATCTAAGAGGCGAGGGAAGAAAGTCAACATGGCCTTGGGGTTCAGTGATTTTGACTTGTCAGAAGGTGATGACGATGATGATGATGGTGGTGGTGGTGGTGGTGAGGAAGAGAATGACATGGAGAATAATAGTGAATGACGGCAGAAAGCAATAAAATCGAAAATGGTTGGGTTTTTTTTTTTTTTAACAAACAGAAGAAATGTATTATCTCAGTCTGTGCAAAAAAGCAGCATAGGGAGGCGAGCACCAAGCACTGCATCTTAGGCCGAGCTCACGGAGGGCAGTTTCCTCATGGGGTGACTTTGCTTTTGCATCCAGAAAAACAAGGCAGGGAAATTAAGCTAAAAGCATATTTATCAGCGAGTGTGGTGCCTGGTTATAGAAATTTGTAGTTACATACATATCACGTTCTTAAGCTAACGACCTTTGGGCCTTTCCTCTTTAAAGTGCATACTGTGTAGTTTGTATTTGACAATACCGTATTTCCTTCACTCGGTGGGTTGGGACAAGTTCTACTCCTGACTCCACTCTGACGCTTGTTTCTTCCCCAGCACACTGAGGTTTCCTCCTTGTACAATACACTGTAATGGCGGAAGCGATTGATGACTGTAAAACCCAGTTACACAAAAAAAAAAAGGCTGAGATAAAAGATTATTTTTTAAAAATGCTTCTTCAGAAATACCTAAATGCCAAGAATTTTCAAACCAAATAGCACACAGCTCCTCCAAGTAAAACCCGAATGGTGTTCTCTAGTGACATTTGAAGGAGAAACACTCTGATTTGAAGCAAGCAGCAGACAGTGCAAGCTTGCATCCCCCATGCTGGCTGGAAACATCCTAATATGAGCACACTGTCACCCTAGGCTTAGCTTGTCCTTTGCACAGAAGCACATGGTCCCACAGGGACCTGTCTAGGCACGAACAGGCTGAGCACACTCTTGCTCTGAACATCCAACAAAGACACTCTGCTTTTTGTTTTCCAGAGGTACATAATAATAATCCTAGATTTTAACCTATGTGCAGGAAAAATGCACACTATAAATAGGAAAGACAAATTATCCTTCTTAGACACAAGTGCATTCCGACACAGCGTCGCCCCCACCTCTTTCTTTCCTTTTCCTGTGCTCTGTGATGTTGGGTTGAGAAATAAACTCAGGTGCTACTTACCATGAAGGCCAGGCTACCTAGAGACACTCTCAGTAGACAAGCTTATCTCTCAAAACCTACTGGAGCGATAAACTCCTATAAAAACTACAACCAGATCAAAGGCAAAACAAAACTAAACTCTTGATCAGCCTAACTCAGAACGAGTGTCATTCACTAGACAACGAAAATGAAGCGGCTGTGGTGGGCCTCTTTGTTCAGAAGCACTAACATCAGGTGGGTGTGTCCACAATCCTGGCACTTGGAGGCTGAGGCCGAGGGACAGTGAGTTTAGTAACAGCCTGCTTGAGCTGCACAGCAAGACTCTGTCCCAAGAAAGGATTAGAAGCCACCTACTAATGTTTATGAGGATGTTCGCCTACTAAGTCTTTGGGAATCTGAGATGAGATGTGCTTCTAATCCTCCTGGAGAATGGAAAAGTACCACCAAAATGAGAAGCGTACACTACAGCTTCGTGGGGGGGGGGGGGAGTAACCAGTGCAGCGTTCTGGGTGTCTGTCTGCTGGGCAGTCATGGTCATGACAGGAAGAGGATCAGAAGAAGGTGTGTGACCCTGTAGCATAGCGCCAGGCCGCGGCAGGTGCCACATCGCACCGGCGACAGTTAACTGCCAAGTGAAAGGGACACTGAGAAATGGTGGGTTCAGTAACCTTCTGGGTTACCAAACCATCGATTGCAAGTGAGGCTTGCTCAGAAGTATGAAGCTAAAAGTAGAGAGCTTTCAGGAGAAATAGAGAGAGCAGTTCTTAGGATGTAAAGTGTGCAAACAGATTTAATTCGGTTGCTCTGGGAACCTGTGTACCGTGGCCAGGTCCACCTGTACTGGGTGTTTACGGGCAGGTCCGGGTACAGTCCGCCTGAGATGGCTCCCCCTCCTGCCTGCCCTGCTCTAATCCTCTGCACATACATATTCTAGACTGGTAGCCAGGCCACTAAAACAGAACAACTTAGGGGGAGCAGAAGGGATGCCTAGCAATTCCTGCTTCCCCAGTATGCTGCAAGTACTTGAAGGAGACAGTGGCAGCAGATGCAGGGTCTTAAAGCCTCTTGCACATCTGCCCAGGAAAAAAATAGAGGCTTTTGATCAACAGGTCTACCGAGTTCTCGAGAACAGCTAGATGACTGCCTGCTAGTGAGTGTGCTGTCGGGAAAGCGTGCATCACAGAATGCTGTGGTTTGAAGTGCGTGCTAGAGACTAAAGCAAGACTGAAGGAAGAGGAGGCTGGTGGGGTCAGAAAAGGCCTGGCTGATGGGTACCATTTGCAGACCTGAAGGTGAAGGGATCTCTATGAGGAATGAGTTCTCCCCTAGAAGGAAGAACACACATACACCTCACCACCCGCTAATCAAGAGTTGGTTTAGAACATACAAACGCCATCGAAATAATGTTGTTTTCCTAAATTAATACCTAAATCCATATTCTATATAAAAATTTTAGTGCATGAAAAGCCAGCCAGATAGTGTCACTGAGGGGAAGGTGCTGGGTTCTAGCCACAGACTTAGGTTTACCATTACCAGGCATATGTCTGCCATCTCTTAACTGCTGCTTCTTCTCCACCAATGTTGCAGCCATGCTCATAGCTCAGTACTCAGTCATGGAGGACTTGGGGCGGGACAGAACCAGCCTTGGTGAAGAGCTTCTAACACTTCTGTCTGGAGCCATATAATACACCATTGGCTGTTTGACGTCTGCTCCAACACGTCAGGCATGGTGGTGCACGCCTTTAATCCCAGCACTCGGGAGGCAGAGGCAGGAGGATCTCTGTGAGTTCGAGACCAGCCTGATCTTCAGAGTGAGTTCCAGGACAGCCGAGGGGGTGGGGGGAAATTGCTCAAGCATACCTGAAATCTGGCTCATATAAACAGGATCCTTTAGGGGTCTCACACCATCTGTAAAAATTACTAGAAAGCTGTAGATTCAATTAATTTCATAAAGAAATGTCTATTAGCCACGTGCAGAATTTCTAATAATGCAAACGTGGCGCTAGCTCAGTGCTTGGATCAGTTTTTGAAAGGACAAACGATCAGTGTTAGATTTCATTCCAAAGACCTGACTTACAAAGAAACACACTTCAGAAGTTAAATCCCAAAACAACGTCAAGGTTCAGAATGAGAATTAGAACTCTAGAGTGTCGTAACAACTGTCAGCCTGACAGCTGAATACATCACCAGTTAGCTTTCTTTACTGGTAAAGCTGAGCACGTAGAATTTGAGGACCCCTGAGGTAGTTCCTAGCGGGGATGTAATGTCACCTTGACCAGCCAGAGTACTGCCTAGCCTGGTGGCATCCCGCTTGCCAGGGACAGCCCCACCTTGCAAAGATTCCCATCCGAAATCCCCACAGCACTGTCCAGTCCCTCACACGTCTGCGAGTCCAGCTCTAGTTTTTCCCCAGACAAAATTACCCCAGCCTTTTCAGAACGCTAACAACATCTCCTGCATTTTAGGAAGTTATAGCTTTTTCTCAGAACCCTGGTTGCGGAAATGATTTCCAGTTGCTGGCAGGAATGCTCTGAAATGACTGCACCTACCTGCGAGAGGGGTGCTGGCCCATTAAGGTGACTCCACAATGGTACAGCCCAGGTGGAGATGCTGTCGTTCTGCAGAGTCATTTCAAGGGAATTTTTTCTCATCTTTTTTTTTTTAAGCACATTTTTATTGTTTCATGAATCACCAGTGGGATACGGTTGAAGGCACAGGGCACACTGCTTTTGATGCTCTGAAAATACTGAGGACTGTTTTGGGTTTGTTTTTTGTTTTGTTTTTTTTCAACCCGTAACTTTAAAAACAAAATGCAATGAATTAGTTAGACTTTAAACACCAGCTGAGGTATTCACACCTGATCCCCATTAAAATCAAAGGGCCTAGAGGAAGGGAGGGACTTAGCAGAGACTCAGACCCATTTCCCTTCAAGTTACTGTGCATGTATATAACTTGAGTTTTTCATTAGCGTGTTAAGATGAAAGATGGTTTTAAAACCTAGTGAGTTAAATACGGATACTTTGAAAACGATTTTGCCACACTAGACCGGGGCAGCCTTGTGAAACTCGTCGAGTCCCGCTACACCACAGACACACAGGAGAGCCTAATTCTTTCTATAATCAGGCACCGTCTGCTGCTTTCGAGAAAGGCCGCTTTCCTGGGTAGACTTCCCCACTGCCGCAAGAGGCTCCACCCTGCTGGATGTAGGGTAGCCCGGCGGCATTCTGTGATTGAAAGATGAATGTCTATCAGGAAATCGGGACAGGCCCTGTCTTCTCGGACCCTAGCTTTGTGGGCACTGTGTTGCTTGTGTGAGAAACTTTCTGGCATGTGGTTAGCTATTTCAAACTAGAGTTCGGGCACTAGGCAACTGGTTTACAGCGTGTGCGAATACTCTTAATTCCGACCTGACACACTGCTTTTGCACTCTAGGGAACTGCTATAGAGAACGTTTCTACCCTTTTTGAGTGTGAGCTTTTAATAGGCGGCATCACCGCTGTGTTTCCATAACAATCTTCCCCCCCCTTCGCTCTACTGCAATGTTATTCTGAGCAAGTCTTATGCCAAATGCTGTGTATAATGTCTGTATGGGAGATTAAACTGCGATCCTGTTTGGTCAGACTGTGTAGTTGCCGGCTTCATAGTTGGAATTTGATATTCCAGCACCGAGTCCACAATGTGTTCAGAAATCCAAGTTGGTGTCATACATTTCGTTCTGATGTGAACTTTTCTCTGCTTTCCTTTGTTCTAAGACTCCATTTTGCAATAAACGTTTTGACAGTAAACCCCTGTGCTGTGTCGCTGTGTACATAAGATCTTTGTTAGACTGGATTCCCAACATCCTTTGAGGAAATCAGTGTCACGCACACGCACATGCACGCGAGCACTATCTCTTCTCTTCTCAAGTCTGATGGAGTATAAATAGTGAATTACTAAAGTGATGGGGCAGTCGTGAGGGATTTTTTTTTTTTTTATCCCCAAAGAAAAGAGAAAGGCTTAGAACTCATCCCCGGCAGATGCGCTGATATGTTAACAAGGCACAGGGAACATGAAGGAGACGCGAGCCTCTGTGTGGCTGGAGATCGTTAACTCTTAGCCCCTGTCTTGCCAAATTCAAACCTTCTTGCCGCGGCGCCTGGTCCCAGCCCTCCTCTCACTGATCTTTGCAAGCCTCTGTCGACTCCTGCTGGAAGGCATGGCAGGCAAGGCTTAGGTCTTCCTGCGCCTTGACGCTGACATCCAGCCCTGGAGCGGCGAGCACTTCGCTGTCCTTTGCACACTAAAACTGAAGATGTCAGCTGTTTTGTTTACAGTCTTTATCAAGAAATAGTTATTCCTCAGTCTTGTTAGCACATTTGGAAATTATATAAAAGTCAAAACACCCCACACACCCCACATCACAGTCACACGGGCACTGACACACATCCTGTAGAGACGAGCCTTAATGCAGGACAATCCTTCTGTGGTAGTATCTCGATGTCTCTTCCTTCACACTGGTATCCGCGGTGGGCGGGAGGGATGGCATGTTTCTGCAGCTGTGGCCAGCTGCCCCACGGAGAGGTAAAACCTGTCGTGTGTTTTCTTTGCTTGAGATCCACTCATCCACACGGTTCAAGCGGGCGAGCATGCTGGGTGACTCCTTCGTAGAGCGTGTGTTTCAGAGGAAGGACACACACGAGTAGTGGAGTATGTAGGGAACGTGGCTGACTTCAACACACGCTTTATAGCCTTGGAACCTACATGTAGTACTTAGAGTCTGCACATCCACGCTTGTTTCAACAGTGGGGTTCAAAATAATAAAACCTGCTCTGCCACACCCAGAATTGGCTTCCTTCTCTTTTTACTCCAACACAAACTCACTTCATCCTGTGTTCCAGTTAAGTGAGCATGCCACACCCACGGCAGCCCCACGGCCAGTATCTACCCAGTTGTTCTTCCTTGCCTTCCGTTCCCCCATTATATGCTGTGGGACATCGATCTTCGTATGCCTATCAACACAGAGCAGACTACCAAATAATCCGAATACATATGTTCTTCACGCTACCATTTCATTCTATAAGATAGCATGAGAAAGATTACACGGGTGGGGCTAGAGAGAGAACTGGGTTGGCAGAATGCCTGCTCTACATGTCTGAGGACCTGAGTTCAAGTCCCAGCATATAAATAAAGAGCCAGCTATTGTGACATGACCTCATATCCCAGTCAGGGATATATATGGGGCAGACAGGCGGATAGGTCTCTGGCGCTCATTGGCCAGGCGGCCCAGCCTAATTGATGAGCTCCAGGTCAGAGAGTAGGACCTGAGGAAAGACGCACCAAGGTCGAGAATTCCAAGGGTACACACATGCATGTACCCACACACATACAAATATGCAAATATACCAAACATTATGCATTAGTAACTAGAAGAACAATGATAAAAGTGGCCTTTCCTGAATATAATCCACGGATGTTCCACTCGGGACTAGTAAAATTCTTTATAGGGATCATGCCTTTCCTAGCAGTCTGAGCTTGTGGTTTTGCAATAAATATCTCTAAGTTGGGAAGATTAATTTAGCCCCGTCAGACTGTCGCACTAGCAGTAGAAGCAACTGCATTCAACTTTCTTACCTTTTTCTTGCTGTCCTTTGAGAATTCCACCCATGTGCACAAAGTGTTCAGATCACACCTCCCCCGGTCTAATCCCTTTTCCCTCCCTGCTCACAAAGAAAGACCGTCTGTAACAGGCCCAGTGATACTTTGGCATATTCTTTCGTGAATCATGAGTCATGAATCATGAATACACATCTTGACAAGTCAAGTTACTTGAAGCTATTGGCTACACCACACTCTAGCCCACGGGATACAGGCCTTTTCAAGTTATGAAAGATGTGCTGTTTAGCCCATAACCATGGAACACACTGATGACGGGCTCTGCAAATCCCCATTCCACACGTGTCCCTGACAGGGAGATGTGTCGGTCTGTGTTGGAGCAACTCGGAACCCAGATACCTTAGGACAGTTCCAACCTCACATGTTCTGCCTCCTCCACGCAAGGGAGATGCTTAAGCCCCAGAACCCCTGTGAGAATAGGCAAAACAAGTCACCTGGTTACTTATGGTTGTTTTGGAATTTCCGGTGGTAAATTTTCCTATTATCCTACTGCTGGTCGAGAATTCCAAGGCTTCTCTGATGGCTGGTGAATGTCAGAAAGGCCTTGATCTCAAGGCCCGTGCCAAAGAAGACTCTACCAAGTCCCCCCTTAAAGCAGCGCATAAAGTAGCATGCATTGTTGCCAGGAACTGACTTACAAACTGGCTGCTGGGCTCAGCGTCCTTGGACGCTGAGAACTTCCCCGGAAGGTTGAGGGAAAGCCAGAGGAAGCCAGAGCAGCGGAAGAGCTGAGGTGAGAGGGACGCACCAGAAAGGTGAGGGTAATGTCGCTTCCCTTTCTCATGGCCTTCATATCTCCCACGCAGCTGCTGCCTTCCTTTGAGATCAGTGCATGGGACGAAGACGACGTGGTAAGCTGCTTCTGCTGATGCCTCATCCGACCTAGACAGGAAGCGGGCAGAATTGTCCACATGTTCGGAAGTGCGGTTAGGGAGAGCTGGAGCTAACGAGCAGAAATTAACAAGCTTCTCTTTTACATAAATAAATAATTTAGTTGTGGTTGAAAATAGGGACTCAATAGCAAAAGCAACTAGCTCTTCAGATATTATGAGAGTTCCATCTTCCTAACTGGCTGTGAAAATACTCCAGAATATAGTAATACCAATAGCAAGATAAAAGCTATACTATATTATATAGAATATATATCTATATATACCACACACAATTGTGTATATATATGTGTGTGTTGTGTGTGTAGTGTATATATATATATACTCCAGAATATAGTAATACCAATAGCAAGATAAAAGCTATACTATATTATATAGAATATATATACCACACACATATATGTGTGTTGTGTGTGTAGGATATATATATATATATATATATATATATATATATATACACTCCAGAATATAGTAATACCAATAGCAAGATAAAAACTATGATTCAGGATGCCAAATACACATTCTTGAAAAAAATATTCAATTCTTAAACTTTCCTTCGATGCCAGCACTACACTTGAACATGGAGGAGAGAGACAATGACAGGCTGGAATTCCCTGCACAGGTTTCCCCCCCCCCCCCAGGCCCGCTCATTACATGACAAGATGCCTAACTGCCTCCCTGACCCTGGCCTTCCCCAGGAGGAATGGACAGAGTGCGCCCCATCATCTTACATCCCAGGAGGCAGGATACTTAAGTCTGCAGGAAGGCTGCGTGCAGCTCCGGGTAGACTCCCTGAGGAGCAATCCCAGGTAGCCAGTTCTCTCTCCATATCTGCTTCCTTAATGGCAAAACAATTTTGAGAGCTGCTGATGAGAGACTTTGGGGACCCGCGCCTGTCCAGGGCCATTTTACAAGCTCAAGGGCATCATTACGTGAAGAAGGAAATAAAGGTGAAATGCTAGCCAGCCCTAGCAAGGATGGGCTCCACCCCAGGGAGACAGACACCCCAGGACATCTCAAGGGAAAGAGCCTGATTGGGAAATCCAGGATACCTGCTTTAGACCTCAGTCTGGTGTGGGGCTGGGGCATGCCTCCTCTACCCTTTGTGTTTTATAAAGTGAGCTTCCATCAACAGAAGGCAGCTGCATAGACCCCACAAAGTAAAGAAGCTGGGTACCAGCTTCCTGTCTCTCCCCATTCCCTGAACCCTAGAAGCCGAGCCTCTTGCCAGCCCCTGCCCTGAACTTAATTGCTTCCTCCCCAGCTACGAGGGTGGTCCATCTCCTTTGAAAGGAAATTAATTTGAAAGAACTGAGTTCTCTGGGTTATTTTTAGTCTTTGCTGCAAGGTTAAGTGACTTCTATGCCATTCAGCTAAAAGTCTATTGTCAAGGGACCCGGGGAACCAGCATGACTAAGCCAGGCCTCTTTTCTGTGTGTCTTCACCAAGGTAATGTTAGGCCACCAGTAAACAGGTGTCAGATGATATACAGACACAAGGACCCCTGGGTAGAACCACCTCACTCGACACAGAAAGTACCATCTTTCGCATGCCCCTCCCCTAATGGCTGCCAAGGCTGAACAGGCCTAGTAGGGGTCCTCATTCTGTCCATCTCTCTGTCCACTGCCATGTGACCCTTGCTACTCATACGGTTCCTGAAATAAGTACCGTGGCAGTCACCACCTGCAACGTGTAAATTAAAACGTCATTACTGAGCCTCCTCTAGGAAAGACAGAAGCTCTCTCCCAAGGAAGTCTCTCAACTGCCCCATGCCTCCTACAGGGGGAATATCTCCAATTTGAAAGCTTGAGGCTTTAAAACTACAAAGAGGGCTCTTTCATCTTCCCCTTGTGGCTAAGTTAGAGACATCTGAATCTACTGGAAACTGTTTTCTTGTTGAGAATGGCTAAGGCCCGTATGTGACCCTCCCGAACCTTGTGTGTCCTCTCTTCGCAGTACTTTTGGGTTCAGCAGCTCGTCCGGAAAGGCAAGTGACACAAATTACCTTCTCGTTTATGGAGTTAACTTTGTCGAGCTATGATGTCGCCTCACTTCCTGCCTTCTACATGTCTCCCCCAGGTGACTCTTCAGTAGAGATGAGCAGCTATGCGAGCTTGTTTAAGGAAAACAACATCACAGGCAAGCGGTTGCTGCTTCTGGATGAGGAGGACTTGAAAGACATGGGCATTGTCTCCAGGGGACACATCATTCATTTTAAGGTACCCGGTGGGAGAGCATCAGTCAGTCAACTGAGTATGTGCTGGACACTGGGCCATGTGTTAGCGAGTAGGGATAAACCCATCACAGTGGAGGACATCAGGGGCTGAAATGTCAGCTGCCACACCTGTGCCGCCCCTGTTCCCACCGCAAAACCCCACAGCAGTTACCTGGCCACCATGGTGTAACACCCCTGTACTGTGAGGAAGCCTCTGGTCTGGGGGTGGGGTGGGCGAAATACTGTACACTATCCCGTGGAATGACAGCAAGAGAGATGCCTCAAAGAGGAGAGGGCTGGGCTGGGGGCGGATCTCGGAAAGGAAGTCATAAAGGCTCAGAACAACGAACATTAGCCAGGTGAAGGAATTTGCACTGCAGGTGTGTGAGGGAGAAAGCCTTGTGGGCCAGAGGACCGGAACTAGAAAGGGGGAAGGGAAGAAACAATGACAAGAACATGGCTTGTCACTTAAATCCGCACCCCCACAAAGGTTCTGCCAACAACCCCCTTTTACTCAGAGTACCTCACCCTCGTTTTCCTATGCCTGTCCCACTCAAGTCCAAAGAGAAGCAATTGTTCATATTGTTCCAAAGAGCCCAGACCTTGTACAAACCATGTCTGTAGTGTTCTCGGGACAATGGCTAGGCACTAACCTACCAGAGAGCATCTGCAAGGCGAAGCTGGACCATGATGTCTTCCCCTACAAGGAGGACAAGAAGACACATGCACAAACATCCATTGCAAAAACTGGCCAAGCACGTAATCTCTCCTGGCTTAGGTATGCCACCACAGGAAAATTTACTTTCCTCGGGACAGAGGTGTCTGCACTGCCAAAGAGACATTTTGTAAATCTTGTCCAGTATAGCAGCTGCCTTCTCCCCCAGCCTCCTGGGGAGGAGCCAATGTCTGGAAGAGAACTAAGTGTCCCATAAGCACTCCTTACATTGTTGGAAGTTACATTTTGCTTTAGAAAAAAAAAAAAAGTATCAGTTTTCCTGGGTTGGGATTCTTAGTCTGTGCATGGTCAGTTCCCAGAAAAGCTGAGTAATGGCTGACCAGTACTCCAAGCCTAACTATCTAGAGCAGAGGTTCTCAACCTTCCTAACGCTGTAACCCTCATGCTGTGCTGACCCCAACCATAAAGTTATTTCATTGCTACCTCATAACTGTAATTTTGTTACTGTTATGAACCGTAATGCAAATATCTGATATGCAGGATATCTGATAGGTGACCCCTGTAAAAGGGTCATTTGATCCCCCCCCACACACACAACAAAAGGGTCTTGACCCACAGGTTGAGAACCACTGCTCTAAACTGTCAAACTGTCCTCTATACAACTGTACAATACCCTTTGGTTTGTTTTTGTTTTTTTAAGACAAGGTTTCTCTATAGCTTTGGAGCCTGTCCTGAAACTTGCTCTGTAGACCAGACTGGCCTCGAACTCAGAGATCTGCCTGCCTCCCAAGTCCAAGTCCTGGGATTAAAGGCTTGAGCCACCACCATCCAGCCCTCTGTATGATTCTTAGCATTTCCTGCTGGTTCGTGCTGAGGTTGCAGCCTTCCTGATGGCTTTGCTGGTCCACTCCTATACCCAGTTGTGTTCCCAATCATCCCTGGGACAGCTGTGTGCTAAACACTGACACACTAACTTGCCCTGCCCAGCCCAAATTTGAAGGCCAGCTCTATTTACTGTTCACTCTGAGGTTTAGCATCCCCGTCCGGCTTATTGGGTGTTTCATTCCCAGCATCATTTCGATTTGGATTTCCCGCATTCGTTTTCTTAATTGAATTATGTTTTCATATCTTATATTGACTTTCTATTTTATTCATCTCTTAGATTTTATCTTGGATTGTTCAATCATTCTCTTGAATTATTTAGGATTTCTTTGAGGTCATTTCCCCCTGGGGTCCTTTATTCTGGGATAAGTAATTTTTGGAGGAGACATGTTTTTCTGGATTTTTTTTTTCAGATTTGCCCATTTGGGATTGGTTGATTAAGCAGGAGTGTGGGCTCAGGTCTGGTAGGGTCGCGACTGTTTACCTGCTGGCACCAGAAGTGTGGGCAGGGACATCGGGGCCAGGGAGTCCTTCATAGCTGCAGTCAGGCATTAAGTTGACTACAAGGTGTGACCCAAGCTGTAGGAGCCTGGCAGGCTTCACCTGTGGGGCAGGAGCTACATGGGCCGTGGTTTCGCATCCCTCAACTAGTCTCCTGTTCCTCCCAGTGATAGCAAACTACCACCTCTACTTTGACGAGCAGACATATGTTCAAGCAACATTCTTGGAGATGTTAACATCCCCAAGATAGTCTATGTACTATGTAGAGAATCTTTTGCGGGGTGGTGGGGGTGGGGTAGGTTCAGTAATTTTAACCACCTTTGGTATCTTGAAATCATTAATAAAGTCATGTGATCTTTCTCCTTGCAGTCAGCTATTGAGAAGCTAGCCCACGATTACCTGAACCTATTCCACTTCCCACCGCTAATTAAGGTGAGTGAGGTTCCCTCACCGAAGGCCCCCTACTTTTATTGGCACAGGCACCTGCCACGTCCACACCCAAGTTTGCTAATGTCTCAAACTGTTGTTTGATGTAAAATTTAATTACATCTGTCCAACAAAAGCCCCTTTGATGACTATGATCTCTGTGAGTTACACACATGTGTTTCCCACACTTTGGAATATTAACAACACATTCAAGATAAGAATAGTGCCCCTCACAGACATTGTAGGTGAAGGCCTCTGGCCTCGTGCCTGATTCTAGAGGCCTTTAAGTTACTAAAGGAAGTCACACACCAGAGCTCTGGGTTGCCACTTACCCTGGGGGTGGAGGAGTGTCATTCAAATAGAACATTAAGCGGCAGTCCCCTTCCCTATCCATGGGAATACACCCCAGCACCCCTCCCTGCAGATACCTGAAACTGAGATTAGCGAGATTAGCACCAAACCCAAATATACTGCTTTCTCCTGCCCGAAGATGCCTGTGAGAGAGTTTAGTATATAAACTGGGCACAGTGACAGACTGACAATAACCAGTAATAAGTCATTTTAAAACTTAAGAACTGTTTATTTCTACAACTTCTATTTAAAACGTTTTTTTTTTTTGACCAGAGTTGACTGCAGGTAACTGAAAACGTGGGAAACAAAACCATGAACCAAGAGGGACCTACTGCACTTAACATCCGGTTGTGACCATAGCCTAAGAGTGCATGACATGATTCATTAGAAAATTAGCAAATGCTTGGGACTATTCCCCAGAGCTGTGCTAGCTCGCCAGCAGCTATGGCTTCTCATCTCTCAGCCCTTGGGTCTCTCAGTCCACATACCTTGGAGAAGCTGCAGATTTCCTCTCTGGAAAGAGGGTAGAGATGCCTTGAGTGTTTTGACTCTTTCTCTCAGTCTGTTATCTTACCACACATCCAGTGCAAAATGTGCTTCCAGCAAGAAGTGCACAATGCCAGCTGCATGCAGAAAACCACCCTAGTGACACTGTTGGGAAGAGCATAGGAGAAGTCGCTCAGCGGGGTTCTCGCCGCTGTCTCAGTTCTCTTGCTTTCGGCCATTAGTTACAGCTTATATCTTAATCTAATGATAAAAGTTCAATAAGAGTAGAATGGAAACCCTGTTAGCACCAGGCACTGGAGAACTGCAAAAGTGCAGGCAGGCGTTCAGGCCTAGGGACCCCTTGACAGTCAGAACCAGGAGTGGGGCTGACCATGAAGTGTGGGCTGAGCAGTAAGGGCCTGGTGGGCTCTTCCCTGGGGGGGAGGGAGCTGCTTTACCTGAGAAGTCGAAGTGAAGACACCGTCTCTAAGAACCTTATCTGCTTTTCTATTTTAGGATTCAGGAGGGGAACCTGAAGAAAATGAGGAAAAAATTGTGAATCTTGAACTTGTGTTTGGTTTTCACTTGAAGCCAGGAACTGGCCCACAGGTAACAAGTTTCCAACCCTTTGGGTATTTTCCATCTGGAACTCAGTGGTTTTTCTGCCCCAGCCCCAACCACCTGGTAACATGATTGGTAATAAAAGTGTAGACTAAAGACTTCGTCAAACAGAACCTAGCTGACAGGCTGCCAACTTCCTCTGGAATCCAATCAGAAAACGTATAACTTCTGTCAGTAAAGAAGCCTGGGGGAGACCACCCAAACTCTCAAGATCACATAGCAAAACACAGGCCGCGTGAGTTTTGGCGCTTGCTCACTCTGCCTTCTGGCTCCTGACTCTTGAGGAAGGTCAGAATAAAACCACACTGAGAGTACAACAGAGACAACGTGGGATCTGGGTTACCAGCTCCAGGAGGGCAGCAGGGCATTTGACCTTCACTCATCCAGTGAGGCCTGGGGACGGGGGATGGGGAGGTGCCGGCAGTGGGGGTGGTCTGCCTAGGTGGCACTTGGACCTGTGTTACCTCAGATTACTGTAAATAGCTAATAGTATCTATTAATTGTTATATGCAAAGAATATTTGTATGAATTACTTTTTCTCATTGCTGCAAAGAAATGCTGGTAGAAGCCACTTAAGAAAAAGGGATCCTTTGGGCTTGTGGTGTAAGAAGGGATAAAATCCATCACAGGGGGAAGACGTGGCAAGCATGACGTGGCATGTCACGGCTAGCCACATTGCCGCCACACTCAGGAATCAGAGAAACGGAATGCTAATGCCTGCACTTGTTACTCAGTCTGGGAGCCCTGCCCACAGGATGGTGCCCCCACACTCAGGGTGGGTTTTTCCTCCCCAGGGCCTTAACTCTCTCTGGAAATGCCTTCTTGAGACCCAGATGGATGTCTCCTAGATAATTTCTAAATCCAGTCAAGTTGACAGTGAAGTTGAATTGTCACAATGCTAGCATATAAATGCGACTCTTCCCTAATTTGCGGATGTGGATGCTGGGACGCGGAGGGGCTAAATGCCTTGCCATCCCAGGGTTACATACATAACCAGAAAGTAGCTGGATTAAAATTTTGTTTGATTTGAGGTTTGGTTTTGTATGTTTACAGTGTGTGTGTGTGTGTGTGTGTGTGTGTGCTCACGCGTGCACACAGGTGCCCTTAGAGTCCAGAAGAGGGTATTCCCTAGAGCTCAGATTCTTTGGGAGAACAGCAAGTGTTCACAACCGCGGAGCCATCTCTCCAGCCCCAGCCCGTGTTTGACCACTGTATAACTTGTACTTTTGCTTTGCCGCGTCAAGGGACTGATACTAACTCCTCCCACCTGTAGCTTGTATAATTAGGGAAGGTTCTGCACAGGCCTGGCTGGTCTCTGGGCCATTGCTTAATAAAACCTTGCTTTTCTCAAGCCAGTCCAGGCTCCAGTGCTTGAGAACTGGGGGTGGCTGTAAACTGTGAGGGTTGAGTTTCACCTGGAACTTCGAAAGCTGCTCTTTCTGGACACCTGTTGGGGAACGTTCTGCCTTCACCACCGCAGAGTATTGATGAACTAAGGGTGGGGGGAGGGGGCTCTGTGTGTCCTCTCTTCTGGCCATAACATGTAAATACGGGAGAGCTGTTCTGCAAATTACTGTCTGTCTACTCGCTCTTGTTAGAGGCAGAAAGAATGAGGGTGGAAGTGAGTTCCTTCCTCTCTGGCAGCACTGAAGAACCTTCCAACCCTGCCACATACTCGAGTCTGTCCATAGCAAACAAGGTGTGTGTTCCCATCTGCCTCCTTTAGTGTCCTCAACTCCATGATGATCTAAAGCCTTCTTACTGTAACCTGATTTGTAGGGGGAGAGGGAAAATGACCTTGATAGAGACTTGTCAAGAAAAGCTTCAAACAGAAAAATGTTTGCAGGTACTGAAAATATATACTTGGTAATTTGGAAATCTGAAACATATTTTTCAGTAAAACTCAGAAGCTATGATTTTTTTTTTTTTTACTATAATGTGTACCTTTTAAGTTCTGGGCTCTAGACAAGTACAACTTTTGATAGTCTGCATCCCTGGTCACCCACCTAGAATTGTCTGTCACCCCACACTCATTCAGCACACAGAACCGAGGGCCTACTGTGTGCCTGTATTTTTGCTGAGTGCTCAGAATACAGAGTCAGAAAGTACAGCCTTGGCTTACAAGGAATCCACAGCATCTGGAGGGAAATAGACAAGATCAGTGAGTGGATACAGACCACATGCATCGGTCTTTGCACACACACACACACACACACACACACACTCGATATACGTCTACTTGTAAGTAAGAAAGAAGTGAGGGATGCTCTTAAAGTCTCCCTGATAAAATGATTCTAAAATTCAAACTGTAGAACCACTGGGATTTGTTTGGTATGGAAGGCAGAGGGGACCGGTATTCATGAAGCCAGGCAAACATAGGAAGCACCTCTTGGGCTCCTTTTCATGGACCTGATTCAAGTGTTTTCCCCTTGGGAAGACTTAACACAGAGCAGGGAAGTGGTGTGATGAAAATGAAGGCCAGAGAGGGGCTGCTGACCACAAAAAGACCCATTTACCGTGCCAAGCTAAGGAACCAAAAGGTTTCAAACCGAGCAGGTAAGAGCTGGCATGTGTTTTTACAACATTGCTCAGAAACTGAGAAGGGCGAATCTGGGGAGAGCCAGGCCAGTGTGGGGAAGATCTGTGAGTCAAGAGAGAACCAAGCTAAAAGTGAGGAGGACAGCTGGGCAGTAGTGGCCTTTCATCCCAGCACCCTGGAGGCAGAGGCAGGCAGATCTGAGTTCGAGGTCAGCCCGCTCTACAAAGTGAGTTCTAGGACAGCCAGGGCTATTGCACCAAGTAACCCTGTCTCGAAAAACAAACAAATGCCCAAAATCAAAAGTGATGAGGACAAACTGGAGCAGAGCTATGGTCCCAGGACACATCGAGATGGAAGCCATGAGACTTAACACCTACTAGAGATGGGATGAGCGAGAGGAAAAGCGAGGAGCCAGGACCGGGACAAAGGTTTCTAACTGAGCAACTGGATAGATGGTGTTATAAAGCAACAGATCAAAAGGCAACCCTAATGTGTGGGTGCCCTGTCAGGGTGCCAGGAGCAGAAGGAAGTAGCTGGGGAAGGTCTAAGCTTTGCGCTGGAGCTCGAAGAGGTTGAGGAAGAGGTTGATGAAGAGGTTGATGGGCCACCTCAAAATAGCTACCTGAACACCACAAATGAAACCCGTCTTCAGAGACTTTCTAGAAATCGTAATATTGTATGACTGCCATCTCACCATTCCCTTGGCATTTATGCCAGGTGCACGTGACACAATGGTGTCTTCACTGATAGAGAAACAGATAACAGGACAAAGTCTGTGGCTAGCCTGGGATGAGGCAGCCACAGCCAGAGCCAAAAATTATGGTTTGATTTTTGTTTCTATTGTGTATGTGCTAACTCATTGAAGCCATCTCTAAACCCACATAAAACAGCCAGAGAATAGATTACTATCTTGTTCTACAGTACCCCACTATGGCACTCTACACCCTAAACAACAAAATACTTCTTCATAAGCATGCTTTGAATGGCAACGATAGTTCATATGAGAAGTCTGGACCCTTAAAGGCAGAACCCATTAGGGGGAAAAAGACTTCCTCAAAATTCCTGTAAACTGGGTTCTCAGAAACCTACTTTGCAACCTGCTCCTAGACTAGAAGGAAAACCTCACAAGAAACACTCTGTAGCGCACCACGCCCGTCTGGCTCTATGAACTACCATACAGTTCGTGAACCAGGCAAGGGGCTGGAGATTGAAATACACATAAACTCACAGACAGAGACATGGATCATTCTTGATGCCAGAATGCTCCAAGAATGCCCCCTTTATTGTGTCCAGGGGCAGCTTATATAGGGGTAGCCACGCCCCAGCCAAACGCACCAGAAACCACTCCCCTGCCATCAGGGCCTCCTGCAAGCTGTCTCAGAGCAGAGGAAAACAAGTTATTTACAAGAAATTCAGGATCTGGGGGTCACAGCTCCCAACAACTCTGGAATTCTGAAGTCCTCCCCAAATCTTTGTTTGATGTCACTTTTCTTTCACAAGTAAAATGAGAAGGATGTCCCAACAGGAGCCACTGGGAATAATGCATGGCAGTGATTCCTTTCGTGGGAATAATGGCCACCTCTCATCTCTGCCTTTGACTGTGGAGTCACTAGGCCTCTGCGTTGTCCTAACAAAGTGCCTGGCGGAAAGGATTCAAGGGAAGATGGATGCATTTTGGACCCACGGTTTCAGAGAATTTCAGTCCCTTGTGGCGGGGAAGGCACTTGCAAAGCAGTTCAGTTCTTAACAGGGTCAAGGCTGCTGACATCAGGGTGGACTAGGGAGCAAAGAGCATGATGGGAACAGGCAGACAGACATAGCCTTCAAAGGCCCACCCCTGGCGACTTTCCTGGACCAATCAGACCCTACCTCCTAAACATTCCACAACTTTCTAAAAGAGAACCACTGGGGCTGGAGCTATGGCTCAGTGGTTAGGAACATCGGCTGCTCTTCTGGAAACCTGAATTCAATCCCCAGTAACCACATGGTGGCTCACAACCATACATATAGGATCTGATGCCCTCTTCAAGCATAAAGTCATACATACAGATAGAATACTCATATATATAAAATAAATAAATCTTTAAAGAAGAAAAAAGAGAGAAGGAGGGGCTGGAGAGATGGCTCAGAAGTTAAGAGCACTGACTGCTCTTCCTGAGGTCCTGAGTTCAACTCCTAGCAACCACATGGTGGCTCACAACCATCTATAATAAGATCTGGTACCCTCTTGGGCCAGCAAACATACAGACAGACAGAACACTGTATACATAATAAATAAATAAATCTTTAAAAAAATAAAATAAGAGAGAAGGAAAAAGTGTTCCAAACATTAAATAAACAAATAAATCTT